GGTCATGGTCTTAAAAAAAATACCAAAGTTACTATAACAATTCCTACTCATTAGAAAAAGAATGATATATTTCACAAATACCAATCCCAAGTTATGAAAACGAGAAAAACACAAGTTAGGTTGATGAAATCATCCTCAAACGTGCTTCGAAAAAACTCTACAAAATTGGTCTTATGTCGAAAGAACCTTGAAGCACTATTTAAGCTTATTTTACCCATTATTCAAGAAACTACACCCTAGCCTCGCATTACGTATGAATAAAATTTCTCTTTAACTTGAGATGAATTATCAATCGGATAGAGTCAATTTCTTGAGCACTTATAAAGGAATTTTATTGAAAATAGATAGTCAAAATTGAAACATGAGCTATCTAAAACCATAGTTGGTGCTAAAGAACAACACTTAAGGGAAAACAATATTTTCTATTATCGAACATGTAATTTGGCTACCATTTAAATGCAATATTAATACCAAAAAACCTATACTGGCCATATTGAAATGTTTGCATGATAAGTCCATGAATAGTGGATGGGTTTTTGCTCAAATTTTGGATCTAAAATCTCTAAATGAATCTACCTAGCTTTCCTTATAAAGGAGGAAATTCACAAAATGTCAAATTTTTGAACATTTCGAAAAGCATATGGTACCTCAAGTTCAAAAAAAGTCACCAAATCCAAAATGAATTCAGCACCATATCGTCAAGTGTAAGCAATCGATTGACAATTGATCACACCGGGCAACTACCACGAGGACTACTTTAATCTAAATAAACTTCGAAAGAATAGATCAACCTAAGTTTACAAAAAGGTAAAACACGAGTTAGAGGGTAAAGTCATAATGCTCATATCACGGATAACCGACCAACTTTAAAACACCGATAGCAAAAAGAGGAAAATCAAAAAAAGGGTTTGAGCGGGACGACCTATGTTTCTTATAAGTACCTTGACTAACTAGTATGCAAAGTTTTGTTTCAAGTACATCACAACCCTAAAGAAAGGGAGACATCCATAATAAATATTGAATAACAAAATACCAAGGAAATAGAAAAACAATACTTCCCATAAATCCCTCGGGTATGGTTGCCTTACAATAAACCACTCGTCCAAGCACATAAACCCAAAGTCAAATGATCAATTCTCACTTTCGGGTAAGTCGATTAATTTAACTCATCGCTTTAGGTAAGGTTACCTAGCGATCACTCGCATATTTCATTTTTAGTGTAAGCTACCCTTGACAACAAGGCCAAGTTTGTATATTTAATTTTTAGGGTATGCTCGCCTTAACAATGAGGCCATATATTACATTTTTCATTTTTAGGGTAGGTTATCCTTGACAATAAGGCCATGTACTCGTATCTTTCATTTTCAAGATAGGCTACCATTGACAATAAGAGCACGTATTGCATTTTTAAATTTCAAGTTAGGTTGCCCTTGACAATAAAGTCATGTATTTGCATCTTTCATTTTCGAGTAGGTTTCCTTTAATAATAAGATCACATATTGCATGTTTAATTTTTAGGATAGAGTCGCCTTTGATAACAAGGCCATGTACCGCATCTTTCATTTTCGGGAAAGGTCGCTACTTGTTAATAAGGTCAAGTATTACACGTTTAATTTTTAGGATAGGCTACCATTGACAATAAAGCCATGTATTACATCTTTCATTTTCAAGATAGGTCGCCTTTAACAACAAGACCACGTATTGCATATTTAATTTTCGGGATATGCTACCCTTGACAACAAAGTCACATACTACATATTTAATTTTTAAGATAGGCCACCCTTGACAACAAGACCATGTACTACATCTTTTATTTTCAAGATAGATCGTCTTTGACAACAAGGTCATGTATTGTACGTTTAATTTTCAAAACAAGTCGTCCTTAACAATAAGCTCCTTAATTTCCAAGGCAAACTAACTTAAACAACTTAGCCACGTACTTGTATATTTAACTTTTAGGGCAAGCCATCCTTCATAACAAGGTCATCTCATCACAGACATTACTTTTAGATTTAACCATAACAAACAAATAATAATAAAAATAAATAAATAAATTCTTCTTTACAAGCTTATTAAACAAAGTCATTAAAAAATATCTTTTTAATTTGATTTTGCACCATAAGCATTGCAAAGATGAGGCAACTGTCATAACTAAAAAAAAAAATCATAATTTTAATTTTAGTTATTTTTATTTTACTAGTTTTAGGAATTTATTTATTTTCTAAAAAGGAGGAAAAAGAAGTAAAAAAAAAACATATAAAAAATACAAATCTCATGAATTACATTTAGGGGGAAAGGGGATAATTGCATTAAAGGAAAATATAATTGAAGTAATTAGGGGTATAATCGAACCAATTAGAAAATTCAAAACCTAAATTATACCCTATAGGGACCCAATTGATAAAATTACACTTTACAAAGACTAAAATTACATAACAAAATGGCACAATTGTAGATAATTGAAATTTATAAGGATCAAATTAGAATTTTAGAGCAAATGACATGACTGAAATGGAGTGAATGATCTCTTATCCACTCCAACCCAAATTCCCTCCAAAAAATTCTTTAAAAATCTATCTAAATCTTCCACCAATTGTGTTTTTTTTTTTTTTAATTTTGCATTTACTCGTGATTTTTGGTTGGAATTGATATCAACCGAGAATAATGTAATCACCGATCCCTTTCCTTATTGTTTAGCTAATCAAATCTCAAATTTATAAGGATCAAATTAGAATTTTAGAGCAAATGACATGACCGAAATGGAGTGAATGATCTCTTATCCACTCCAACCTAAATTCCCTCCAAAAAATTCTTTAAAAATCTATCTAAATCTTCCACCAATTGTGTTTTTTTTTTTTAAATTTTGCATTTACTTGTGATTTTTTGTTGGAATTGATACCAACCGAGAATAATGTAATCACTTATTCCTTTTCTTATTGTTTAGCTAATAAAATCTCAAATTTAAGATTTGACAATGAATTCGAGATTGATCTGTTTGATTCTGGAGAAAATTTAAGCAAATTCATGCCTATAAAATATTCTGAATTCCGAGTTGAGAGAGAGTGAAAATCGAGAGTAGAATTCGAGGGATTTTTGAAATTTTTGGTGGCTACCATTTTTGGGGTTTTTTTTTTTTTTTTTTTTTTTTTGGGCAGTAATTAGTGTTCTTCGTTTCTGGAATTCTTTTCTTCAATTGTTGGACTCCATAATTCATTCTTTTTGTTTCTTCTTGATTTCATTTTGAGTCTCATAAGTTATTAACTTGATTTTTAGGTTTTTTTGGATTCAATTGGCACTTTTTGGGTTTTCTCGACTAAAAATTTTTGGGCAGTGTTTCTTGGTGTTCTTAAATCTAGGTTTGGGTTCTTCATTTTTGTCGATTCTATTGGGTATCGAACTTCGGACTCTAGATGGTGTCTAAGTAATTAACATCAGCCACGAACCCTTTGATCGTCCAGAGATCATTTCAAAACCCTATCGTCCTATATCCAAAAAACAAAAAAAAATTAATTCATTCATTTTCAAACTATAGAAACTAATTTATAATTTACTCTCATAAACAACTATCAGAAGCACCTTCTTGCTTGTTTCTTTTCTTTTTTTTTTTTTTTGGTTTTGGATCCATCTAAGTAGTCAAAGTTGTCCAAAATTGTTATAAACTTCTTAAGGAAAATATTGGAAACTGATCATACGATTTAAAAATTAATTAAGATCGTCACTGTTTTTTTGCAGTGGAAAATCATGAACATATAAACATAGAAAAAATGTGGGTTCCAAGTAGCCTAGCCCTTGTTGGGCTTTATGATTTTGGGAATCATGAACAGTAACCTAGAAGACGGAGACTCAAATACAGCCAGAAATTAATGAATATGACAATAGGTCAATTTTTAAATTTTAAGATATGATGGGCTATTAAAAAAAAAAATTGTATATAGATATACCAACAGTTAAAAATATAACAAAACTATAAAATAATTGAAATAACATCTAAATAAGAATGTTAAACTCTTTTTTTTTTTTTTTACCATATCCAATAATTGATATATATTCGTGCAAAGTTTAGTTTTATATATATGGTAAAATTGAAATATGCACAAACTATCAAGAAATCATGTTTTATTTTATTTTATTTTATTTTTTAATTCCATGAAGAAGCAAAGCTCTAAGCAAAATAATTGTGGTTACATAGTCCAGAAGTTACGACTTCACAAATATCCTCTAACAAAAGATAGATACAATTCATCGAGACATCACAATAATAATTTAAAAAAAAAAAAACTCATAACAAAAGCGAATAGATATGAAAAATAAGTCAATCTGTTGTATAATTTGTCTATCTATAAATATATGAAATCTAAACATGCCGTGGTTTTTGAAGTAGGTCACAAATCATAGACAAAAAGTACTATAAACTATCAAGAAATCATGTTTTTTTAGCTTGAGAGAAAAAAAAAAAAAAAGATAAAAATTGTGCTAGTGAAGTAAAGTATTGGTCTTATTGGATACAACTATAAAGTAGTTTTAAAATATTTTAATTTTTTTAATTTAAGATACATTTTAGAAATGTTTGATAGTTACAATTAAGTATTGGATTAAGTATTTTACATCAAATATTAACTTAATAATGGATTATTATTATACATCAAGTATCCGACAAATGGTTTGAGATCCTTACAATTTCATTAGTATGGGCCAATCGCTACATTTCGGATTTGGAACCGATTGCATGCAATCTCTCTTATGTTGATGGCCAATTATTACCTCAAAATTGACCAATAAAATTTGAAGTTTAAAGTTAACAAAGTTGGATGAAAGGATCAATTTTGCCTCTAACCAAAAGCTTAGAGACCCAACTGCATTTTTTATAACCTTTTAGCCTTGATGTGCCAAAACTGCTAGTCAGGGACTAAAAGTGACATTAAAGTGAGTATGATTCAAATTCTAACGGAAAAGGTTAAAAGAGTTCCGCAGAAACATTAAATTTTCTTCCGAATCAAAAGGTTAGGGACCCAATTGCGCTTTTTAGATCCACAGGCCTTGATGTGCCAAAGTAGCAATTCATCATCGACTAAAAATGTCATTAAACTGACTTTAACCGGCGCCCAGACCTTGTTGACTTCTCGCTGCCCCTTCTCCCCCCAAATCGCTCGCTCTGTGCTTATTTTCTTTGTTGTACTTTATTTTGGTTTAGGGAGCCTTTATGGTCCCTGATTTTATCTTTTTTCTCTTTGGGTCCTTGGTGCTTTCAATACATTCCTCTACCTTACCAATATATATATATATGATTGATTTATGCCACATACACTATTTTTTTCAACCAAATTATAACAAATTATTGTTATTGATAAAAAAATAAGTTTTATCAAATTTACACGTTCCAATAGAAAAAATTAATAAATTTGTAAAAAAAAATAATAATAATAACAGTGAGGCCCACATGTTGATGCCACATGTGCAGTCAACAAGAGTTAATGGAAATGGTCAAATAGCAAAAAAAATTATAATTTTATCTACTCAAATAATAAAAATAAAAAAACACATATTTAATTAGAGAAAATTAACAAATTGGGACACCAAAAATATAATTGTAACCAGTCCAGATTTTTGGTTCAAATCATATGTACTGATATCCAGTCCAAATTTTTCACTTTGTGATCAGATATTTGTAAATTAAACTATATATATATATATATATATATATATATATATATATATATATATATATATATATATATATATATATATGGTGATATATCTTAAGCTAGCTTTCGTATCAATCAAAATTAAAATAATTATTTCTTAAATTAGCATTCTTGAGGGAAAAAAAAAAAGTTAAATCAAAGTCATATGCATATAATCGCTAGTGTCCCTATTCTATTGTCGGTTGACACACGAATATGGCGCGTAATAACATAAATATGACATGAATATATATCACGCGACTGTTGTTGTCTTTATGTTTTATAAATTAAGTTCTTAATTTTAAAGACTTGTTAAGCAAGTACTTTTTTTATTAATTTTAACTCTATTTAAAAATTTTATCTGAAGATTTTGTATATATTTTGAATTATTGGAGGAAATTAAAAGAAGAATGTTGGTAGTAGATACTGTTGTGGAGGGGAAAAAGGGGCATAATTGAATAATTGTTGCTATGAGGGTTCTGAAATGAAAGATAGTTGGCAATTGGAATTAGTAATCAATATCATTAAAAATAGATAATAGAAAAAAAATTATCATTTAATATTTGAAATGTTAAAATAATTTAATTAAAAATGCAGAGAATTGAGAGAAAAAAAGGAGGCAAAAAAAATTTAATGGAAAAATGGAAAGATAAGTTACCATTTATTTCTGTAGTACTTTTGTATTTTTCATAATTTATCTTACAAAAAATTCATATTTATAACACCGATACTATCCTTCAAATATTTAAAAAAATATATAATTCAAGTGATTTTTATTTTCTTTGTTTTTTATTTTTCTTAAGAAAATTATTATTTAAAAAAACATTTATTTTTTTCACTTGTAAAACATTTTATTGTTGTAATCAATCTTCAATATATCTCTATCACTCTCAAAAAAATAAAAAATAATATAATTGTGATTATAAAAGTGAAAATATAATTTTCCATATTTGTAAATCTTAGTTTAAAAAAACATAATATCAAACTTTAAAATATATTGCGTCAATATTATAGGAATTATAACAAATTTGAACTTAAGTGAAAAAAAAAACCTTAAAAATTGAAATTAGTGGTCTTAAAAAAGTATCATAAAACTTATTTGTCATTTATTTTTCAAAAGTGAATTATTTCTATTTTTTCCTTCCTTTTTTTAAGTATATTTATTTATAAGAGATTAAAAGGCATACAAACTATGCAAACTACATAAAAATATATAAGGATAGAGAAACTATCATTATTAGAATTAGATTTTGTTGGATACTTAAAAATAAAATTTAGTAAAAACAAACATAATAAAAACATAAGCACATCCAAATAAAATATTAATTGTTAACATTCCTTGTAACAAAAACAATAGCTAATTTTGGATATTCATCCATTAAAAACTATATATAAAAAAAATGACATTATCAAAAATAAATAAATGACAACACCAAAATCATGATAAATTTTTAAAATTCGATGAAACAAATTATAAACTCTCCGAAATATGAAAAAACTTTTAATATCAATACCGAATATATAGATTTATAGTCTCACTGTATTTTTATTTTATTGCTATATTTATTTTATATGTTTAAAAATCATACATGTCATATAATTACTAATATTTTTTAAACATCAAGTATAATTCAATTTTTTTCACATGTGTTTTTTTATAATCCTTAAATTTTTAAATAACAACAGCTAAGTTAAACAAGCAGTAATTATTTATAACACATATTACCAATCATATTCACTACGATGACAATGGATTTGGTGGGTCATATTTATTCCCACATCTCTAACCGTGTTTATTGAGAATGAGAAAGATTTTTTTTTTTTTTTTTTTTTTTTTTTTTTGGTTTTTTAACTATCAGGTGCTAACAGTCATAGATATCCTTTCAATAAAAATATACATTTTGAGATTTTTATATAATATTTAAGATTTATACAAAATAAGAAAATAGAAATTAAATTTTATTATAATTTTGGAGCATAGTGAAACATAAATAATAGAAACATAACTTCAACAAATAAAGTTATTTGAAAAAAAATCTATCTTCAAGGGAAAAAAATTGATGAAAGTCAAAGAAAAACTTATATATGTGTGTGTGCGCCCATGTGCCCGTGCAAAAAATTATATTAAGATCATATAAATATTAAATTTATAACTTTTGGTACATAGTTTAATATAAATAAAGAAAAGATAAATTCAATAATAAATATATTTGAGAAAAAAAAACTATTCTAGAAATATATTTAACAAAACACAAAATTATTAATAAACAAAAATACATAACTGAGTCGAGTTTTGTTGGGTCATAGAGAAGTTTGCCATTTTTATACTTTACACTGCAAACCACCGACACCAAAAATTACACCTAAAATGCTGTAGTGTCGGGCTTTAAGATGGGCTTTAACTTTAACTTTCCTGTCTTTGGAGTGCCTAAGCTCAGTCCTTGGTTTGGGTAGTGTTGGGCCTCTAACTTGCATCCAAATCGGCTGCCCTACATCCTAATCTTTATCATTTGGGCTGCTCCTGCAATCTTTTGGGCCTTCTGAGCTTTTGAAGCTTGAAAATTAATACATTGGAACTCCCAAGGCCACGCATCACACGCTCGGATGAAAAACTTTAAAATATTTTAAAAAAATCAATAATACTTATTTTATAAATTCATTTTAATGAAAAATAAAACACAAAAAAAGAATATTTTATAGACTCACTTTAAAGAGAGAGACATCCACACAAAAAAAAGAAAAAAATAATAATAAATTACACCTGGATTTATAAAAAATGATAAATATATTTCCATTTAACATCAAAAATTTCTTCTTCTTCTTTTTATTTTTATTTTTTATGTTTATTTCTCTTTTATAGAGTTACTTCTGAAATAAGATAAATTTATACCTCTTATTATTAACCTCAAATCTAAAGAGTGGACTTTAGCCATCCAATTATAAGGATTTATAGCCAAAGTCTCTATGTTTTTTTTATTTTTCTTAAGTATTTCTATTCTACATTAGAGACAGAGCTAATTCTATTTGAAGTGAAAACGATAAAATTTAATTATTTATAACAAGTGCGATTCTAGAATTTAGATTATTTACATTAATAAGAAATTTGTTTAAAAATCAGATCCCTTACCACTAAATTAAAGTCTTTAGGTTAATTATGAGAATAAAATTGCATATTTAATGCCATCCAACAACTCGTAACTACCATACTACTATGTATGTATTGTCTTTCAAATGGGATATAGCAAGGCACGAGTCTACCAAATCCTATATGGCAACCTCATGGATGCAATCAGCAAATCAATTTAACGTCCATCTAAATGTTTCTTGATAGTAAATGCTCATCTAGATTTTAACCACTAGAGGTTACAAGGTTGTACTATGTTTGCATTTTCAATAATAATAATAATAATAAAAGTACTACGTTTGCATTAGCTATTACAACCTTCGTATAGAAGTAGTAGTAGAAAAAAATGGAAAACAAACAAAACACCCTGCATGCACTGTAATAAGAATCACGTCCTTCTAGAATTCAAGTCTAATTAATAGCTACCTATATGAAGTAGTTTTTTCTTCTTCTTTTTTTTTTTAAAAAAAAAAAAGCATCTTAATTCCTTTAATCAAACAAGTATGTAGAAAATGAATGAGAATTGACTTGTCCATGTCTGTGGAGAGAAAGCATATGGTTGCACATGGAAACATAAAGGCTGAAAACAGTAGGAGCAAATTAACCCCCCAAAAAAAATCACAAGAGAAAGTGCATTGAGAAATGTGCACCCTTTAAGCAGAATTTATCTCCTATGATCACTTACAGACACCACATATCAACCCAACTAGCCCTATTGATATCTCCATCTCATCTTTCTCTCTTCCTTTACATGTCTCATTCAATTTCTTGATAGTGAAATCACATTTTCTTCGATTATTTTTAAACAGAAAGAAAAGGATATTTTTGGAGGTGAATAATTTAAATGTAACACAAAGTAAAGATAGAGAGAATCGTGGTACCTACACGCCTTTGGCTTTACCCATTGGGTCCACGCATATCCATGATTAATGCATTTATATATCCCTCTCGCATTTCTAGCTAGCTTCTAACCTAACGGTCAAATTTGTGGCAGAAATACAAAGCTAAGCCCTTTTTAAGAATCCAGGAAGGGAAGTAAGGTATGTTTCCAATACAAGAAATAATGATAGTCCAACTGACCCTAGCAGGAAACATAACGCAGTACACTGTCATCACAACCAAACTCTGGCAAACCCCAACAAATAAAGAAAGAGAAAAGTTAGTGCTTTTCCTTCTTAAGAAAAACTCCCATTCAATCAATTATCAAACACTAGGTCTCTCTTGGAATTATTATATGCATTTACAGAGATAAGAGTGGTGAGGCTGACATGTTCAAAGGGTTTGGTTTTATTTGTTTGTGGGGGGTGATGAATGAGATTCCCAAAAAGCAAGAACAAAGCGATATATATATATGCAGTGTACGTGAGTGCGAGAGAGGCATTGAGATTCTCATAATGTGTGAGGGTTAAAAAGGGCTGGAGATCACATGTAGAATACAACAACAACTTTAAGTTGAATGGAAGAAAAGATAAAGAAAGAAAAGAAAGAACTCCACGAAGAACGAACTAAGTCAAGATGCAATACATTTTGCCCTAAAAAGAGGGGAAGCACAAACACAAATGATACCAGTTATACCTTCACCAATTTCCTTTTTTACTATATTCTAGTGTCCTAATTTATCATGACAACCTGCATCAAGCAATGATCATAACCGTCCAATATAGTATCTTTTTCTTTTTTTCCAACGATAAAGTAATTAATTATCAGAAAAATGTAAAATGGGTTGTGACCCAACACCTTAGCTCCTTTTTTCTTAACTTTTGTTTTTTCACTTTGCTTTTTATGTGTTCTTTTTTCTAATTTCGGTGGTGGTTAAACGAAAGTGTATAGTTGATGTCTTGGTTGGCTTGATGCATGCAATAATAGAGGTAGAATAAAAGAGAAAGCTGGTGAAGAAAGGTGAATATAGCATCCATCTATACATCTACTTTATCTAATCTTCTTGTTGTGGGCTTCCTTTTCTCCATCACTTTTCTTCTTTTTCTCTTTATAATTTACAATTATTGAACTCAAATTTCTTAGTTTAATGCGTAGAATATTGTTCTTCAACTTCACTATATCTTAACTTCTAGACTCTACTCAAGAATTTATAAATTTTGGGAATATGGGAAAAGTATGGTCCAACCTATATGTTCTTGGAGTCCTTTCCGCTCAAAGTTTTACCATCTAACCCTAAATTGCTATTTGCATCAAAAAGAAATTAATTACTCCTCAATCTTCATTGTCTACCAAAAAAAAACAAAGTTTCCTTGACTTAAGGCTACTATTTCAATCGATATTATATAATAATTTGTGAAATACGAATACAATGCAGCATGGCCATGCTGTGTCTGTACGGCTTGCCTCATGCCTCGTATTATCTTATAATCAAGCATTAGTTTAATGATGTTACCCATGTGGATATGATATCAAGACAGTATTAATTAATTATTATATTAATTGGGACTATTAAACAAGTTTAATTAACAGTAATAAAAGATTATGCCTCCTCAAACGGTCCGGAAAAAAGGAATATATTGAGTAGTATCAAATTGTATGGATACCTTAGTTGGCAATGTAATTAACAATTGCCAAGTGATTAATTCTACAGTTATAATCAAATCACTAATTGTTTCTCGTTTCGTCCCCTCAATGAAGCTTATTCTTGTCCTATATATCAAACAAAATACACAAATGAGTTGAGGTCAGCAATGGGCGGGGATTAAGTAAATTGGAAATTGCTTGAGTTTTTAATTAATTAAGAGGACACTTCTAGAAATTAACGTTAGAGTAAATACACTCATATATGTTATATGATAATTAAATTTTTTCATTTGTTTTTTTTTATTTTCAATTACAATCTCATTTGTTTCTAAAATTTTTTAAAATATTCAATCTATCTTTTCGATCAAATTTTTCAATCTTAAATTTTTTTTATCCAAATGCCTTTTACTAAAATACAAAATATATTATATATATAATAAAAACACTTAAAGTTACATGGACTTGTTTTATCTTTGAAGTCTTTAAAATTTATTATTATTATTATTATTATTGTATTTCAATAAGAGACATTTCAAAAAAAATAATAATAATAATTTGGACAGAAAAATTTATCAAAATGATAGATTGAATATTTTAAATATTTTCAAAAACTAATGAAATGCAATTAAAAATCTAAAAATATATGAGAGATTTTGAATATTATATAAGAATATATGAATATATTTACCCTATGTTGAATATTATGCAAGACTACAAGGTGTAAATTAAAATTGCTGGTTAAATGTCTCTTTATTGTGATAGTATCTAAATAATAGTGTAGCCGTCTAGGGCACGGCACGATGTAGTTGTCAAAGAGATGGTATCATTTTTTTACTTCTTTAAGCATTAATTGTCAAATACGTATGTATATGAATCATGTTATTTTAACCAAAAAATAATAATAATAATAATATCCAAATGGAACATTTTCGGAAATTTCTCGACCATAAGAATATGAGACTTAAAATTCGATAGTAGTGAGCTCCAATCGTTCAAAGACTGAATAAACGTTTATGATCATAAATCTATTCTGATATATATATATATATATATATATATATATATAACCTAAAATTATCAGGCATATACACACATTTTCTTTGATCGATGTCGTGGTGTAGTAGAAGGAATGAGATTTAATTTGGATGCTACATGGCTAAACCGAAGGCAGTAGACTGCATATATATGGTCAAATTTGGATAGTACAGCCAGCTAGCTAGCTTCATTGAATTCATGGAAATTTGGAGTTGAAAAAATGAATATTGGATTCTATTAAAACTTGAATTCGATCATTACTTAACCGTGTTATGTTTACTAATTGTTGTTGACTATTTTACGATATTAATGCCTGGTCCCTTGAAAGTTGGAAATCCATCCTAACTTTCAGCCTTTAACAAAGCAAAGGAAGTTGTCAAAAATTGTGAACTACTTACCTGCCTACGTTAATCTCTCATGGTCTCTATCGGCTTAACTTTATGAAAGAAAACATTACGCAACAACCTTCAAACCCTAGCCAGTTCAGTTTTATCTAATCCAAGATGAATTATTCAATCCACGTCCGCTAATTTTCAGGTCGTGATTTTGAAAACTTGACAATTAGTTAGAGAGAATATTTGATTTGCATTTGCCTTGTCAAACAACAATATATTTTGGTCAAGGTGCTAGTGTCAAATGGAATTAATAGAATTCAATTCCATGATAGTAGGCCCTAGACGTGGAAATCCGAATCCTGCGTGAGAAAGAGTGCATTCACACCGAACAAGAATTTCATTAGGGCTAATTTGTGGATCGAAGAATTGAAAACGTTGTTCTGTGGCAGCTACTTACTAAGACAGTCAAAATAGACAGACACTAAATTCTAATTTAGAGCACAAACAATTAACAAATCATTACACATTTTGTCCAAGAATTTTCGAGCTTCCCGTTATTAATGGCATTGCCTAACATTTCCACCAAATTGACTTGCTTCATGCCGGCATACCATGACAGAAAGCAAATTCCAAACTCCTAAGAACACATAGTTTTTGAAAAACATAGTTGTACGTTGTGTCTTCTACATTTACTATTTGGAAGAATTATCGAAAACTATATTCTGTAATTTCACAAAAGATTTATCTTAATTTAGAGTGGATTTTATATTTTTATGAGATGAGAGACCATTCAAACATTGTATTTAGTCAAGTAATAGAGAATACAAATTAATTGCCGACTTTGGAACTATGTGCATGTATCATGACACCTTCGTTTGGTTATGAGTTAGAAGATAATTTCTTCCGCTTGATCTTCTTTGATGTCAAATTTCAAAGTAGTTTTCCATTAGAAATGAGGACAATTGTTGTTATAACAAATTTTTTAATGAAAATAATTGCCCCACGAAGGTGAAGCATGTATATGTGTCTTGTCAATCCATGTCAATAACGATTAATTAAAAGTGTTTATAAAAAATAAGAAACCATGTGGCTAATGACCGGCCCATGCATGGAGGAAATCATTTTTCGTCAAATAAATGCCTTCTCTATGCTTCTACACGATACTCAAGTTTGACATATTACTATTAATGTTCATGTGCTGAAACTAAATTTCTCTCTTTACCTAATATATAGATAAATCATTTTTTGAGAATTTCCAAACCATGGACTCATGAGATTTTCTTGAAAGTTGGTCCCATGAGCATGCATGATGTGTTGATCCTCGTGAGTGATGGCAGTTGAGACATGCCATGGAAGAAAATTATTTTTGTGGGACTCCAAGATTGGAAACAAAGCATCTAAGGTTAGAAAATGGGATCAAATGGCCATCATCATCAACATTTAATAAAATTTCATGGACGAACTGTACGTTACCATAGCAAAACCAGCTGGTAAAAGAACAGAATAGAAAAGAGAACAACTAAGGCCATAAATTGTCACAACAACGTGGTCATCATGGCAGACACTGCCAAATCTTAGCCAACGTTTCCCATGCGACCCGCATGAATTTAACAACATGTCTTAAAAATCAATGCCACAGAAAGTCAGTATTAGCAAAGAAAATATAAATAAAATAAAAAAGAAACTGCCAAAAGGACACCGTATTGGCCTCTGTGTAAATCCCGTACCCCTAACCTTAGCCCCCACACAACTGCCGCTCATTAAAGTTCCCCTCTTTTTTGACAAAAATCCAATCCCTACATTGGGCCCCACTACAGCCACGCTGGCACTCATGCGTGGTCCCATTTCTCTTTGTTTTTCCTTGTCTGTGTCCTCCCCTGGTGGGAAATGGACCCTCCTTAAAATCTGCCATTGCTCGTGTATTTGTGGACCCCACCTATGCCTACGTGGCTGTCGTGGCAGGCTCAGTCGGCTGGTGGCTACCCAGATGCCTTTTGTCAGGAGAGTATTAAATCTCCAACAGCTTGCCTTCTTTTTTTTTTTCCCCCTTTATTTATTATTAATGGTAAACCTCAAACTAGTCCTCAATCTATAAGACAAATCTCTATTGAGTACCCTAAGTAATGCTTTTCTTAATTGAGTTTCCACAACTTCTGAGAAGGTGGGTCCACTGAAACTTTAAGGACTCAATTGAAACAAAAAAATTGAAAACTGAATCATGGATTCTTACATAATTAGAAGGTTTATTTGAAATTTGCTTTCTTTTTTTCATATCTCCAAACTATCTCGAATCTAAAGGTTCAAACTAATCTCTTGTTATTTGGTTATTCAAAAACTTTTCTGCATATACAAAAAATCGAACTCAAGACATTAATCTTTTATGGTTTAGTTACTTAAATAGTTTTCTCCATATACAAAAATTTGAATTCAAGACTACTTAATTATTTAAATAATAAAAGTTTATTTCACTCAAACCAGTCATGTTGAGTAATTTCTTTTCTCTTTTTGATATCTATATCTCTTATTAAAATTAATTAAAAGAGTAAATATTGGTCGTTGAGTATTTTAAAATTTGTAAGAAGAACACTAATATCTCAAGTTACTGTGGAAACCGGCTAATTTTCTGGAATTACCCCTGGTAATTCGCAGGAAAAATGGATTGACCATGACCCCATTAACCTGTTGGTTGTAGGGGTATAGGTTTTTTTTCTCTTTTATTTTCTTTTCTGTCCAAACAACCGAATCCTAAAATAGACAAAAGAACCCAAACCAACAAAACAAAACAAAACAAATCTCTCCGTATATATCTTTCTCTCTTTCTAGACCTTTAGAAATGCAATATATTAGTGTGTGGATTTGATTCTTTTTTATGTTTTTTTATTCTCTCTCTCTATCTCTATCTCTAGACCAAACCAAACCCTAAATAAACCCCACCAGACAGCCTTGCCACCTCTATTGCATGCCCATTTGTTCATTTCTTTCCCATCCCTCTCTCTCTCTCTCTCTCTCTCTCTCTCTCTCGTATTGTTCTCTTCTCTCCTCTCCTCTCTAAATACCAACCAAAACAAAACTTCCTAGAAACCAACCCTCTAGCCAAAAAGAGCAAGAAACCAAAACAGATTACATAGAAAGACTCTGCCTTTTTACATATAGAGCAGAGAAAGCAAGCAAATCGCCAACACAACATATATCATCATCTTCTTATGGCTGTGGAAGCCAGGCACCTCAATCTCTTCCCTCCTCAACTCTTAAGCAACAGGTTGGTATTTCTCTGCCCTTTTGGTGCGCGTATCTGGCTAAGATATATACACTCTATGTTTAGCCATCTAATGTTGGTTTTGGTGATGAATTTGCAGGGAAATGATGAACCCCATTGAAGCAAATACAAATATGTACTACACTCAGATGGGATATGGTGTGCCATTATCAGGAACTACGACAACAACAGCAGAGACACTGCTTCCTATGTACAGTTCTGTGATCACTGACTCAATCCCTTATAAAACACCAATCAAATCAGAAAGTGGTCTCACTTACAATCTTCCTGTACAAAGAAAGCGCCCCAGAGACTCCATCAATCCTCTCCTCTCCTATCCAATTCCCGTACAATCCAATAAGACTTGCACTCCCTTTTCCTTTCTTGGCCAAGACCTCTCTTTTCAGATCCAACAACAGCAATCAGACATCGACTGCCTTGTTTCTCAACACGTAAGTTCATCACTTCATTAAATTCATAATTCCACTGTCTTTCTTTTCTTTCTCTCTGTTTTTCCCCTTTTCAACCATTAGCATATTGCATTGTCCTGTTTAGGGAATGATGTTTATGTTGATTTTGTTTTCGGTTATTTTGTTCAGATGGAAAAAGTGAGGATGGAGATAGAAGAGAGGAGGAAGAGGCAAGCAAGGCGGATACTTGAGGCGATAGAAACAGGGATGGTGAAGAGACTAAGAGTAAAAGAAGAAGAAATTGAAAAGATTGGCAAATTAAATTGGGCCCTTGAAGAGAAAGTCAAATCTTTATGCATAGAGAACCAAATATGGAGAGACTTAGCACAATCCAACGAAGCAACAGCCAATGCTCTACGTTCCAATCTTGAACAAGTCCTCGCAGCACAGGTTAAGGATGAGCGCACCCTTGGTGCAGGATTAGATGATCAGGCAGCAGCATTAATGGATGATGCCCAATCATGTTGCGGCAGCACCGGTGGTGATGGTGACGACGGATGGGAAGAAAGAGTGTCGGGGAGGTGCAAGTTACCAAACGGGGCGCAGGATAATAAGGGCGCTGGTACAAGCGGTAGTGGTACGAGCAGTTGGTTGTGCCGGAATTGTAACAAGGAAGAGTCTTGTGTGTTGCTGTTGCCGTGTAGGCATATGTGCTTGTGTACTGTTTGCGGGTCAAGTCTCCATACTTGCCCCATCTGTAAAGCCACCAAGGATGGCAGTGTCCATGTTAACTTGTCATGAGAAAAACCAAAATACCCCCAAAAAAGGAAGAAGATGAGAAATTTCAAGAAAACAAAAAAATTTGTTCATTTCCTCTCTTGGTTTACTTATTGCTACTAATGATTCTTTTATTGGAATTTACTTGCGATTTTTTGTTACCACATTCTTTTCTTTTCCTTGTTTGTCAAATTTTCACACAAGGTGGACAAATTGCTTAGGAGCTAACTTTTCAATCGGAAATCATTAGAAAATGATAGTGAGATAACACCCAAAAATTCTTATGAAGGAAGAGAAAAACCCTTCCTTTGTCCAATTTCTTTTCGTTTTGGATGCTTCCTTCAAGTTATTGCTTATTTCACTGTATGGATCGATGATCTTATTTATGTCATTATCAGATGGTATTTATCTTAAGAAGTTGTAATTCTCTAATTAATGTTTCTTAACTTTAATTATTATTGTTTTTTTTAAAAAGAAACTTACTATATTGCCATCATGATCATGTAATGATGAAGTTTCTTGTATGTTTTGACAAAGAACAAATCAAGTTGGAAATGGATAAGGAGGCGTATTTTAGCAGAGTTTGAGGGGTGGAGGCGCAAGTTAACGAAGTAGTTTTGGAGTTGAAGGCAAAAAGGATGGTGGGGACGGGGTACGTTAGGTGGGTCCCGACAAGGCAGGCTACGCATCTACTACCAAATTAGTAGTAGTAGACCAGACCACCCACCCATTCCACTCATCCAGGTTTACGTTGAGCGTGTTCGTCACGCGCTTCGAGTGAGGCGTGAGGTCAACGAGAATGTGAAAGGGACAGGTGTGAGGCAAAATCTGACACGTAGGACGCGCGAAAATGTCGCTGTTAGTCTGCAGTGTACTGGACTGGCAGCAATAGTGGTGGCGCTATATCTGCTCATGCACGCATACCTTTTTTTAAAAAAAAACAATTCATATTATTACTATTTTGAAGATATTTTAAAAGATTTATAGCACTTGAAAATTACTACTATCCGTATTAATTAATTGAAATGGTTTTTTTTTTATTCACAATAATCTTAATTATGCAAAGTAGTGCCCTGCTGGAAATTCTATGTCTTATATCATATTAATATAAAAATAATTGTCTTAATTATTTCATAATTATGTAAGTTGAGTAAAAGTTTGTAAATTTAATAAACCAAACTTCATCAAATTTGATATTATTATGTTAAACTTGGTAAAAAAATCATTTGCACATTCAACTAACACAAAAATTACTACTACCATTTACTTTTTGAAAAATAAATTTTTTTAAAAAAACCATAATGAATGGTTGAAAAAAGTTAGCCACCATCCCCAAAACGGGCAAAAGAAAAGGTGTGATGAACAGGACCAAAAAGAACCAAGAAGATCAACAAGTAGTGGTGCAAATCTCTGCCACAACCGTATGATAATCATATCTTTAAGTTTTCTTGTACTTCAATCGGAAAAAACGGAAATGATTGTTGGGAGATGTGGTTGGTGCGCCACCACAATAACACAAAGATCAATATATGGTATAGTTTGCGATTATTTCTAGTCAATTTTATAGAAGTCTTTTTATTATTTCTTTTATCTTATCATGTTTTTTTTTAAATTCATATTTATACATTTAGTTTTTATTTTAATCTCGTTTTTCCATTAACATTTATTTATACTAATGATGTTAATTTGTTTTTATTCCTATTTTAATCTCATCCCTCTATTTTATTTTATTTTTCTTAGTTTTTTTATACCAAATTTAGATAAATGATTTTTTAAAAAAAATTAAAAAAATAAAGATATATATGGTCATTCTGTAAAAATTAAAAATAAAAAAAATAAAAAAAGATGAAGCTAAAAATATTTGTTTATCCAAAATATATTTTATAGATTTAAATTTATTTCTATGATAATAAGCACATTGAGTATAGAATAAAATATTTATAGTATTTTTTTAAAAAAATATGAAGGAAGTTTTAGTTAATTTTTTAAAACTTTTAATTGGTATTTATAATTTTGTAATATCTTAAAAAAGTCTACTATAATTTACTTATTTTGATTCTATAAATTTTTTAATTTAACTCAAAAGTGAGAGTATAAATTTAGGGATTCGAAGCATAGTATTACCTTATAGAAAAGACCTAGGATTTAAAAAATCTAGGGTTTTGGAACATGTACACAAGACATCCCCATAATTATAAAAAAAAATGTTACTTATCTTTTGTTTGTATTTGGATTTTCTATAGACAATTAACGAAACAACTCAAAATCACTCATAGATCACACATCTATGTTATCGATTCATTTAATCTTTTTTTTTTTTTTTCAGATTACATTTGTTTGGCTCCCCTCAAAATTAACACAAAACCCTAGCTCGCCCCTAGTATTCTTGTCCTCTTGTATTGTATGCTTGAAATATACGTGAGAGATTAATGTGATATGAAGGTCTTTTTATCCCAACCTCATGACAATCATATGAGGAGAGCCTTAAGGACCAAAGAAAATTTGTTGTCCTATACTTGCCACTAGTTTGGAAAATCGGGAACATCGGTGCATGCGGCTTTGAAAAATTAGTGTAGCTAGGATCGAGCTTATTAGGAGCATGAGGGAGAATTTTGGAGATGAAGGAACACATGCGCCCGACCACTTGCCTAAATTACTTGACATTTTATGATATGGTTGTGGATGGAACCTCGGCCTATAGAGGTGGTTAAGGTGACGTTCAAGTGTGGTTATGCTATTTTGATCATGAGTCGTGACTTATGTTTTAGGGTTTTATCACATATTGATAGGGTTTCTAGCTTTGTATTGCATATATGAAAATCTATACTTTAATTAATCTTGAAAGAATGGATGGTTTATAACCGAGTTTTAGGTATTAAATTTAGAAATTTTATTGTAGATTTATAAAAAAATTTTATCATAATTTATATTTATAGATGTATGCAACTAGTTAATGTATTATACTATTTCTTTTACATTGACCAATGGATGTGGTCCAACGAGTAAGGGATTGTCTTAATTTCACCAAAATCAATGTTTAATTTTCACTATATACGGATAACTAATCATGATTATCTATCAATAGTACCAAGTTTGAATTCATTTGGTCGACCATCGACATTTGGTCTAAGAGATAGCTCAATAGTCGACTAAGAAGGAGTTCAATAATTGATCAAAAGCTAATTGTATTTTAACGCTAGCTTAGCTAAAAAAATAGTGAACTTAGTGTTGGATGATGTGAAAACTGGTTTGAAAATATCTCATTACCTATATATATCAAAAAAATAAAAAAACACATATGTTGAAACTTTATAAAAGGGTTCCACCATATCGTTATTTATAGTCTATTTCTTACTTTCACATGTAGCGATAAAAAAATATGAGAAAAATCAAGATATGTTAACTTTTGAAAGATAGTAAACTAAGTTGCTTGATACTCTGTAAAGACCTTTTTTATTTCAATATATTTTGTTTTTCAAGAATTTTTTTTTAATTATCATTCCTATATTACCTTCTTTATTTTTTCGATGAATTAACATTTAGGTGATTTATATTTATTTTTTTCTTCAAAAAATGTCCCTATTTGAAGTTGATTTCTTTACATTTTATACTTAAATATTATTATATTAAAAACATCATAAATATCTTTTATAATTTTTTTTAATAAAAAATAGTATGAAATTTTTTTGTTAATATGTTAATGCTATATGAATAGGTTCTTTATTATGATAATATCAACCCAAATAAGGCTCGATTAAAATTCTAGGAAAAAAAAATTAACAAGGACTCGAAAAATTACGGGTAATGATAATATATATGTATGGGTTATTAAAAATTGATATTATTTTACCCACATTGATATTCAAAAAATACTAACCATGATATGGTTGGTGCTCATGGAATGAAACCATGCCCAAAGCTTGATAAACCTAAATACATACGAGCCACTTGTCAACAAGGATTAAAATTCTTGTAACGACTAAGTAAATAGTGACTAATTAAATAGTGATAAGATAAGAATTATCAATTATGATCATCATCTATCTCTCGTATCTTCATCTCCCTTATCTTTATATAGTTAGTATTCCATTAGCTAGCTAATTCATATATATATATGCACCTATTGCAAACAAATTAATATACAAGAGAGATCTTTAGACTCTTCATGGTATCGAGCTAAAAGAGGCTTAACAATCCAAAATTTTTCTTTCTTTTTTAAACACCAAACGTCGTAACATTAGATGCCGCTATTGTTCAAGTAGCTCTTGCATCATCAATGATTCATTCGTCCCTTCCTAGTTTTAATTCCCACAACTTGATCAAACTTACTATTGTAAATTTTATCCTCTAGCAAACTCGGTTTCAACCACTCTTATATTGTCATGGTTTTCTCCATCACATTGATGGCTCGGTCTGCTATTAATCTCTCCGAAATTAAACCAAATACATCCTATTTTATATGGGACCATTATGACCATTTGGTCCTCACTCGAATAGTCAACTCTCTCATAAAGGCGATACTTCCTTTTGTGGTTGGCGCACCAACAACAAAGGTAGGTTGGCTTAAACTAATTATTGTATATGGTTCGGGCACACGAGGCTCAAATTAATCACCTCAAAAGCAATCTATATCATCCTGTCCAACGACCTTTTAAATCCATTTCTCAATACTTCTAATAGGAAAAAAACATCAATGATTTCCTTTATTCCCTTGGATCATCGATACCTAAAGATGACTTGGTTCAAGATTTATTACGAGGCTTTTGTGCTTCCTATTGGCCTTTTATCTCCTCGATAAAATCTAAACATGAAGCTATCCTTTACAAGGCTCGTATGGCCTTGCTTTAAATGAAGAATTTCGGTGTCAAGATGGCCTCCGACCTACTAAAATTCTTATCTCTCGCCTATTATGCCATTTGATAGTTTCCAACCGTGGTTGTGGTCGTCATAATAGACGTCCCCAATCATATGGTTCTTGCCAAAGGCTTTAGCTTTTGCTCAAGTACAAGCTACCTCTAATCCTATTTTATGTTTTAATTATAATGGCTCACCTTATCAATATGTGTCCCGCTCCAAAATCATGCCCTACCAATCGCACCAATAAACCCTCTTCTCATCTAGCTCTCTCCAAATCCTTTCCTAATACTTCTTAATGGATTATGGACATTGCTGCAAATCATCATATGATGATGCAACTGAAAAACTTGGCCACTCACAATGAGCATCATGGCCACTAACGAAAGTGTAATTGATTGATATTAAACACATTCTCATTACTTATGTTAGTTTTTCACGGTTTCATCTTCATGATTGTTTTTTCAATCTTAATAATATATTACATGTTCCTTCTAGCAATCAAAATTTATTATTTATTAATACCTTTATAAAAAATAACTCATGTTCTCTTGAATTTTTTTTAATAAATTTCTTATAAAGGATTTGGCTTTATAAAAAATTATCCACGAAGGCACACTTAACAACAACATCTACACTTTCTTTTGGTTCAACCCTTAGGCTATCTCGTGTTCTATTCAAGCTCACAGGTGCAAATTTAGGGACTTGGCATGCTCGTCTTAATCATGTATCCTACAAGACAGTTCAATGTGTCTTGAAGGATGTTAATCATGCTTTTTCCAAACCAAATTTCTCATTACGTTAGGCATGCTCATCTTAATCATGTATCCTACAAGACGAGTTCAATATGTCTTGAAGGACGTTAATCATGCTTTTTCCAAACCAAATTTCTCATTATGTTAGGCTTGCTCAATCAGTAAAATTCATAAATTACTATTTTCTTGATCTAGTTATGAGACTAAGGCACCTTTAGAATTAATTTTTTATGATATTTGGGGTCCTTCTCATGTATCTTCGATTGATGGTTATTCATATTATATCTTATTTTATGATCATTACAACTAATTTTGTTGGATTTTTTTCTTCATTATAAATCTAAAGTTCTTAGTTACTTTATTAAATCCGGACATGTTGAAAAATTCTTTAAAAAACCCATTAGGAGAATACCGGGTTTTAATCAAATACCTCACAAAAAATGATATCTCCCAAAGAAGTGTTTGTCCTAAAACACCAAAACAAAATGGATGTGTTGAGCGAAACACTGCCATATAGTTAAAACAAGCTTAACACTCCATCATGCATCTGTTCCATTATCCTTCTAGACCTACGTCTTTGATGCTACCATTTATACAATCAACACACTCCTCACCCTCATCCTCCAAAACAAGTCTCTTTATTCCATTCTTTTTGTCACTTTACCTTCGTATAGTGAGCTTAAAATTTTTAGTTGCTAATGTTATCTATGGGTACACCCATATACTAGTTGCAAACTTGCTCTTTGCTCTTCGTTTTGTATTTTTTTAGAATGTGGAAAAAATTTTAAAAGCTATTTATGTTATAACTTGTTTACCAAGAAAATGTATATCTTCCGCCAAGCCTTGTTTGATGAACATGTATTTTCATTTATTGCGTTAAGCAAGGACCCATCATTACTCCATAATCCATTAGAAGTCACTTTATTACCACTCATATTATTGAACCGGTTACCTCCTATGCCATCTACTTCTCTATCCCACATTCCTCCTTAAACATGGTCCTTACGAACTTGTCTCTTTTCTTCCATAGATTTCACTTTCATCTCACACTTAGTACCACAATCCTACACGTAACCTCATCCTTCCATATCTCTTACGAGTTGACCTTACATCTTATCGGCTAACACCCATTCCACAGTCCATGATTCACTCAACCTTTAGGCCACCTCTAGCTCCTTCACATGACATGTCCTTCCTCGCCCATAACTCTACTCCAATAATGTCACATTCCCATGATAGGTTATGCACTCCTTAATCTAAAGCACTCATGTCACAAATCTATGAGAAGTCCCTACCTTTCACCAAATCACAACCAGCCATGAAACAGATTACAAAATCACCATCCTCTTACATCTCATTCTTCCATTGTCTATACTTTTCCTTATGGCCAATCACTACTATAGAAAAATCATATGGCTAGTCTTCTATTATGTCTCACTCTCCAAGCATACAAAATTACATCCCATGCACCATCCATAATTTTTATGACATATGTTATTATCGTTGTTCTACCTCCCGATATTTTTTTCAACTACTCGTCATACCTACAACGGGAATAGCTCTTTCTCACAGCATGATGACTCATGCTAAAGCCGGTAAATTAAATCCTTGCACTTTCTCTATGATTTCTTCTCATTTGAAACCATTTTTTTACTGTTATGGTTGGTTTAATCCTCATTAACAAACAACCATGGTTGCTAAATTTCAAGCACTAATGGATAATAGAACATGGGAGCTTGTTCCAGCCTACTAATCCTACAATCTCATTAGTAAATAAATGGCTCTATAATGTGAAAACCAGCAGTGATGGTACCATTAATCGAGTATAAAGCCATATTGGTGGCCAAAAGATTCAACTAAAAACTTAGTTTGGACTTCACTAACACATATAGTCTTGTCATTAAACTAGTTGCTCTTTAATTAGTTCTTTTTGTTATAGTCTCTCATGGTTGGAGTGTTGATCAACTAGATGTCTAACGTATTTCTTTATATACCATTAGAGAAAGTTGTTCGCATGACATAACCTTCTAGCTTTGTTGATGAAGCATACCCTACCGATGTCTATAAGTTACATAAGTTTTGTATGGGCTAAAGCAAGCCAAATGTCAATGGTTCAAATATCTCCCTAATAAGCTCACCTCATTAGACTTTTAAGGTTTCCAAACAAAAGTGTCTCTCTTTTTTAAACGAACTAACAAATACCTCACCTTCTACTTAATTTATGTAAATGATCTTGTTATAACGAGTAACAAAGACACATTGGTTACTTCCTTAATTTCTACTCTTCAATCTAGTTTTTAGTATAGCACCTTAGAAGGGTTAATTATTTTCTAGGGATAGAAACCTCTTAGGATAACATTAGCCTCTTCCTTTATCAATGCATTTATGTACTAAGTTACTACATAAGGCAAACACATATAAGGCAAACGACATTAGTACTCTAACTTGTTTAAACACATGATTGTGTATTATAGTAGAGATCTCGATTGCTGATCATTTCCTTTATTATAGCCTTATTAGTGGTTTCCTATACCTTGGCATCACTAGGCCGGATCTTACCTTCTATGTTAACAAGGTGGCTCAATATATGTATGCTTTTACCGATGCACATTGATTTTCCTTAAAATGTATCCTACATTACCTTCAAGCAATATTTGAGCATGGTATATGTATTAAAAATCTTTTGATTTTTCTATCAATACTTATACGGATTCGGATTGGGGTGGTGACATTGATGATCACAAGAACACCTCGAGTTTTATTATCTATCTAGAAAAGAATTTAATATCCATTCTTAAAAGTAACGCATTATTGCTCGTTCCTTTACGAAGGATGAATATCATTTATTGGCCATTGCTATTGTTGAGGTTGAATGGATAGAATCCCTTATTATGAAAATTGGTATGCTTGGTCACACTCATTTCAAAATTTGGTGTGATAACATATCTATCACATATCTCGTTACCATACCCATTCTCCACTTTTAATCTAAACACTTAGGAATAAACTTTTACTTTGTTTGAGATAACGTGAGAAAAGATGTGTTACAAATGTGTTGTTTGCCTACCACTAATTGAATCGCTGATATACTTATAAAACCATTATCAAAAAATCAATGTCAATAGCTAAAAGTCAAGTTGCATATTCTTTTAATTCCTACGTAACTTATGAAAGGGTGATAAGGATAAAAATTATTAGTTATAATCATTATCTATCTCCGTATCTTCATCTCTCTTATCTTTATATAATTCGTATTTTATTAGCTAACTAATTCTTGTATATATATACACTCACTCGTAAGCACATTAATATACAAGAGAGATTCTTAGACTCTTCAAATAGATTAGTTCTTTACAAAAACCTAATTATGTTTTTTTTTCTTCTTTTATCCAAGGACTTCTAGTTCATGATAGTTTATAGCCTTTACTTTTAACTTTGCATTGACAACAAACTTACCCTTATCATAATCCATCTCATTACCTTCTTCCGTCTCAATAACACCTTTCTCCTCTTTCCATTTACCTACAAGCCAATTATTTTGAATGACAACAATAGCAACATCATCACAAATGATTTTTTTATCATGATTCACAATGTATTCAATGAGGTTCATGTAAAACTTATGGGGTTATACCCGAATATCATGAGAAATGTCAAACAAAATAAAAATAAACAAAATTTAAAACATTAGAAGACTACACACATTGTTTAGTAAAATTGGATATGGTAATTCTTTATTCCCTATAGTATAAAAATCTACAACTATCATTGTGTTAAAACCAAAAACATCAAATACAAATTAAATGGTAAACCATAATGCTAAAAATCAAGCAACCGATATCATAGTTATCTCATTAATTAGCCAACCGACCATTTTCACGTTAGCCAAAGCACGAATTGATCATTATCCCAATTTGGAATATAAATGATAAAAGTTTCTTAGTATTAGGAAATTATAGGAAAGTATTACATCATTGATTAAAAAGTAATAAAATATAGATCTAAAGATCAATATCACTAAAATGAAAGGAGATTTCACCCATCGGATTTTCCATAATAATCTTATGGTACATATCTTTCATATCACATTTGGAATCATAAGAATTCATTGTTCAAAAGAAGAAGAAGAAAAAGAAGCAAAAGGTAGTCTAGTGCAATTCATATAAAAATAGAACAATAACTATACAATCTCATTTAAATTAAACACTTTCAATAGTATCTATAGTAGAAATCATGTCAAAAAACCATCTTAACCCAAAAGTTTAAGTTTTTAGCTAGATGAAGCCCTAAGAATGATTTTGTACTACTCTTTAACACACCCTTTTAAGTAAATGCCTTTTTGAGATTGAAACTTACACATGCCTACACTATCTTGTGCTTAATTAATTAGAAGAAAAATTATGATAGTAATATTCGACTTTGTGATCATTTGATTATTAAATATCCGATATCATATCAAAGAACCTTGTAAAAAAAGACCTACTCGTATTATAAAAGCATGAACCATACATCTTTTAATCATTCTAGCAAGTTCTTTTAAAAGTGTATGAAAGAACTATGCTTCGGTAACTATTTTAGCATAGGACCCATTTTTCATCCAAGATTCCGAGTTTATCGACGTGGCATGATACGTAGGATGTCATAATGGATAACGAATCCATAGAGAATGACATATGGGTAAAAAATTAGAATTAAGGCTAACACTACCAAAATTTAGTTGCCTCTCGCAACCATAAAACTCACATCGATGTCCTCCTAGGCATGGATGCTCTAAACTAATATTGATGCTTCTCTAAGCAATGAGGGATGTGGTATAGGCGTCATTATTCAAAATTCACTACTCTTAAAAATATTAGCAATAAAATTCAATTCTCCTTAATGAAATTCAAGTTGCTCAATTTGGTATTTAAATTACATGTGACGTTGGTTTTAATCTCTTAATCATGAAAACAAATTGCAAGCATCTCCAATATGTCATTTTTTAAGGATTGATGATGACGACTACAAATCTTTGTTAACTAGAGATATATTTTACCTAATATATTATTTCTCTTTCTTTGATTATAGATTTACTAGAAGCAGCAATAAAAAAGCAATTGATGCTCTTTCTAACTTATCTAGATATTCATAGCTAAGCTCTATCCACCCCCCGAACCACTACTCGTTACCCTCGATAGTCACTACCCCATTAATTTCGATCTCCATCAACAGTTAAACCCATAGCTCTTCTATCGTCACTCGAATCACCCGATCTCTACCCCCATGTGATTGATAGTCACCATCAAAACCCATCCCGTTGATAGCAATCCCACGAAATCGAATCTCACTAATTATTTTTTTACTATTTTAGTTGTCACGATCAATAATTTACAATTATCATCTACAAGAACAAATCTAATCTCTCTTGACCATTGTAACTTGACTTTCATAGAGACATACTTTTTTGTTAAAGATTTGTGAGGGATGAAGGTAAGAGGATGGGTTGAAGATTCGAGAGAGAAAAAGATTATATGTTTTTTGGTTTTGATTTATGTTTGTATTTTGAGATTATTTAGATGACATGTCATCTAAACAAGGAAAGAATTTTAATTTATAGCCACATGTAATCCTAGTGGATTTTAATCCATGATATCATTCAATTTGTCCTAAGCACGTCACGCTAAAACAAAGTTTTGAACGAAAAAATCTATCCGTGCTAATATGGTTAGCTTAGTTTGTGTATTTTTCATCTAATTTTGAAAAAATATGCCAAAATAGTTAAAATATATATATAGTTTATGGTTTTATGGTACAATAAGTCGTCGATAAATCATCTCAACTAAAAAGCTTAAACTATTAAGTGAGGCTCCAAAAATGGTTTTATACTACTCTTTAACAAATCGGTAGTCAACAATATATCCTCATAATATGACTTTTGTAATTAAAACATGATAAAAAGATTACTAGTAAAGGTAGAAAGAAGCAAAAATCTATATAAGAAAGGAAATTTTTGAAAAAGAAAAAATAAAACCCTATATAATATTTTACTTTTTTTTTTTTTTTACCCGTGTATCCTCATTTCGCGTTGAAGACAAAACTAATCATGTTTGAGACAAAAGATAAAATTTCACCAATCCTAATAAATGCGACTCTAAGATTCGAACTCGTATGTTGGTAGAAAATTCATAAAAAATCAACTCGTTTACCACCATACCAATAACTTATTCGCTATCTAATATTTTACTTTGCATGCTCCATTTCTTTTTATCCTTTCCTTTTTCCAACATTAAATTATGCTTTAAGGTTTTGAAGTCCGAAACTTTTATCTTTATGCACAACCTTTCTAATATCAAACCAATCAAAATAAAATTTCTAAATACATAAACAACTTTAATTTCCGAATACTAGGAGATAGATTAAAATAAAATTGTCCTAGTTTATAACCTAGGAACATTCATTAAAATTTAATCTATGAAAAAATAAAATTTTACTTATAAGAGTAAGATATAGCCACTAATTTCACTCCTTTAAGACCACGAGTAGCGTAGTAGATACTTACGGATATATTGTATAAGCAAATCGAGCACATATAATACCTATTTGTTGGATGCGATACCTTCACATAGTGTAGAGCATTAAGAAAATAATGATTATATTTTATGCTCTAGGTTGGAAAAAGCAAACAACCTATAGCAAATAAGAAAAAATATTGCTTGAATTCCACTTTATTTTCACGCACTTGTCAGCATCGCCACAACAGTTGATTCACTTATTCCACTCTCACAATGTTAGAGAGTAATATAAAATTATTCTTAAAGTTTTACCCATCAACTTAACTTTTTTTAGGTGAGATAGTTCTTTGACATGGTATCGAGTCTTGATGATCAAGTGATCACGAGTTTGAATCTCACCACCCTCACTCACTCTTCTAATTATGCACAAGGTAATGGTGAGTCCGTACAAATTTTAAGCCTAAAATTTTTTTACTTGAGGGGCTATGTTAGAGAATAATATAAAATCATTCTTGAAGCTTCATCCATCGACTTAAGCTTTTGAGTTGAGATCAGCTTCTTTAACACATAACAATAAAAGTTTCTCATTCTTTGAAGCTTTTCTTCACGAACTTTTTCCTTTAGAAAATTATTCAATTTATTTATAGGGACCCCCATAAGCCAACCAATATGGTTATCACGTAGCCGCATGTTTTTCTCTTTTATCCCAATTCAAGTTTTCTTGTTACTAGATTCAACTTAGAAATAGGCCACAAATATAGTTATTGATTGACAAAATCAGCATACATTTTGAGAAGGGATGCGAATCCCATCTCCTTAATCCATTGCCTTTTTTGGTCTTCTAAAGAATCAACGATGACGATGAACATCTTTGAATTGCACCTAATATAAAATTGATGACTTAACAAATGAAAGTTTGAATCAAACTAAATGTTAAAGTCTATACATGTTTTAACCTTTTAAAATTAATTGCATGCCCAAATATAGTTAATTTTATGGAATATATTCCACTAATTTGTACTTTTGACACGGAAGTGTCACCTCCTTCACCATGGTTGCATGCTTTAGGCCTCTGTGTGATCAAGAGTTTTGGCTCTTATCTTTTAATTTTTATGCTTTGTTTATTTAATGCTTATATAGACTGGATCTTTATTAATTGAATTTTATTTTATGTACTAGATTTGGGTTAAAATTATTAAGTCCTCATTGATTAATTACTTTTTAAAATCTAACTATATAAGCATGTGGCGAGTTATAAAAGGATTAAGAATCCTTTTGTTTTGTAGATTCTAATCTTTTAGAAAAAGTTTTTTAATGAGTCTTTATATTATATGGATCCATATTTAATTAGTCTAGTTAAGAATAAGTCTTAATTAATTACGTGTTGCATAAGTCCATCATATTTAGAAGAGTAAGGTCCGAACTTAGGAAGGAAAAATTCTACACTAGCCAAAACTCCTAAGGTTTAATGTGAGTATTTAAACAAATTTTCGTGCATTTTTGTAAAAGTTTTTGGCTAATATATTTAGTAAGCTATCTCGCTGAATTTGGAAGTAATAAATCAAAATTATTTTTTTCAAATATTCAAGTATTTTTCTTGGCTTTGCTTAGGCTGGGATTACTTGGAGCACATCCTTAGCGTGATCGACTAAAATGAGTTTAGATTTATGTATGCAAGAGCTTGCGTTTATGGTTTCACAAATCCTTTTGTTTTGTAGATTCCAATCTTTTAGAAAAAGTTTTTTAATGAGTCCTTCTATTATATGGATCCATATTTAATTAGTCTAATTAAGAATAAGTCTTAATTAATTGTGTGTTACATAAGTCTATTATATTTAGGAGAGAAAGGTCCGACTTAGGGAGGAAAAATTCTACCCTAGCCAAAACTCCTAAGGTTTAAGGTGAGTATTTAAACAAATTTTCATGCATTTTTGTAAAATTTTTTAGCTAAAATATTTAGTAAGCTATCTCGTTGAATTTGGAAGTAATAAATCAAAATCATTTCTTTCAAATATTCAAGTATTTTTCTTGGCTTAGCCTAGGTCGGGATTACTTGGAGCACATCCTTAGAGTGATCGACTAAGATGAGTTTAGATTGATGCATGCAAGAGCTTGCATTTATGGTTTCAAGACTTTTGGCATATTATTCCATAAGTACCTTCTACTCGTTTCTTGATTTGGAAACTTGGACTAATTCTAAGGTTAAATAATCAGACTTGCATGATTTTATAATAACGGCGACTTGACTTGTATGAACTAGCCAACATAATTCCTAAAAGTTGCTTTCGAATACCGATGCATTAGAGAGGCTAGGATTATCCGTTAGGACTAAAACTTTATATAGACACTCTACTAGACCTTTTGTGATTGTGTATAAAATTTAGGATAATTTAGACTTAATTTAAGGGGTGTACATAGTTAAATACCTTACTCTACAAATTAGCTACATAAGTTCATTTGACCTAAATAAGGCCTTAAGAATGTTGGTTTTATTTGAATTTTTGCATGCACCTATTACTATATGTTAGATTGTGGTAAATATTTAGCTCATTTGGACAAAGATAACCTAGAGAACACTTAAACCCTAGTCGTGTTGATCGAGTGGCTTATTTTATAAATCTATTTTATGTGGGGATTTAATTATTTGTGCACTCGTAGCATTATTGCTATATCTATTAAGGTAGAACAACCTATTAAGGAATCTATGTTAAGATTGTTGATTGAGCTTACATATGATTTTAAGGCATCGCGTTGTTCCAACATTAAGTTTCTTACTAGTCATCTTCTTATTATTATTTGGCAATCTTTGTTTCTTTCCACATTTCTCACATTGTTTATCATCTTGTAATTATTATTTTTTTAAAATTTAGAGTTAACGAGTAAAATAAAAGATAAATTATAATTTTGACGGCTTGCTTATCAAAAAAAATTTTATTCTTGGGTTTTCAATGTTTAGTATTGGTAAAAAGAAATTCTCAACTTCAATTTTGATTTAGGGTTCGAATTTGAGAGAAAAGTAATAGATAATTTACGAGTTTTAAGAGGTTAGGTTTTCAAAAAAAACTTTTTGCTTTGAAATTTGTAAAGTTTATGATTATGGAGGAAAATAAATGAAAATTTGAATTTGGAGGGTTTGTTTTTCAAACAAAGTTCTTACTAATTTTTTCTTCTTCTTTAAATCAAGTTTTATTGGTTTTTAAAATAAATTTAATTTTAAAAATTAGGGTTTATGTTTAAATTTTAAAATCATTGTATGAAACTAAAAGAGATTATGTTGAAAGGGTATATTTGGAAGATCATGTGGCAAGTAATAAAACATATTTTTATGTGTCTAAATTTAAAATTTTGGGCTTTTTAGCCAATCAAATTTTGGATCACTATAGTTCTTTGTCTTATTCGGATATATGGTTTTACAATTGCAATCATCCAGGTGTCTTGAAATCATATTTTGAAAAAAAAAATTCACAAATGACATGACAATGAAAGAGTAAATTATAAATTAGTTTTTTCAGTTTTGAAAAATAAATAAATTATTTTAATTTAAAAAATAATTATTTAGTTCTTATATTTTTAAATTTTCTTATAACTTAATCTTTTTTTTTAAGTTATTATAATTTTTTGTTTTAAGAAATAAAAAAAGAAAAAAAAGTGAAAATATAAAAGGATTGATGAGAAAAATAATATTTTTTAAATAAATTAATATTAAATTAAGCATGATTAATATTACTCAAGGTACTAAAGGATTAATTTTTAAAAGAAAGAGAGCTAAATAATTTATTTTAAAAAAATAGAGGGACTAATTTATGATGTACCCGATGATGATGAAGGTATCTTGAATTGAATTGAATGGGTGGCAGAGATGGCAGAAGTAGAGGCAGAGGCTAACGTGTAGGATTTGTTTGAGAGTTGCGAGGTACGTAAGGTGGTGGTGGTGACTGGTGACCGCTGAGTGGTTGGATTCAACGAGGCGCGTACCCATCACGATATTATATGTCCCATTTCTGCTCTCTTTTGTCATTGTCAATAGGAACTCATGAATAAAGTTTAAGTACACACCAATATTGCCCATTTATTATTTATTTTTATTTTTTACATCAATTTAATTTAGATATAGTAGTTACTCAATTATATGTATTTAGTTCAATAATAATAATAATGATACTGATAAAAATTTCATGTATTTATAAAATATGTATTTTTTAAAAATTAATTAATAATTTATCACATATTTCTATTTTTGGATTAGTTACGTCACGTGTTGATAATTGTTGAATCGATCAAAATTCATTTGTTATTTTATAGACACTTGATTGTTATCGAATTAGTCTAAGACTTAATAAATAATTTTTCATGAACTTTTATTCATTGATTTATATTCAATATTTTTTTTAAAGTAAATCAAGATACATCTTTGAATGGGAACCTTTTATTTTTTGAAATTAAGCATTTTTATAATTCTACTATTAATAAAATAAAAAATAATGACTTCTCATAGGTCATTTTTATGATTATTAAGTCTAATAATTATAATTTGTTTACAATTTTCTAATAAAATTAAAGAGTGGAGTGTTTTTTTTTCTTTTTGGTAATTATTAAAAATTGAAAATGGAATTTGTTATATTCAATGAATTAAGATTCATTATTATTATTATTATTATTTTATGAAATTGTTAATATTAAGTACATGAAAATTGAAATGAATTTTATCCATCAAGGAGCAAAAGAAAAAATAAAAGTTGGGATTTTCAGGGACAAGTCCCAAAGGAAATATATTAAAATGGCATTGGAATCATCTCCAATAATGGTCACCTTCACTTGGGAATCATAAAAACTTGGGTCCATAATAGACTCTCTCCATCCCTATCTCCATAAGAGGAGGTCCCTATTCTCCAAGTTGTTTACGAGTCATCTTCAGCGGCATTCAAGCATTTCTGTTCTACTTATTCTCTATTTTCAAACCTTCAAACTTGTCCAACTAATTAATGGACCAATTCTAGAAAAATTTTGTTTGATTTAAGAGACAAAAACCTTTCAATTGGCCCACCTAAACTCCCACAAAAAGATCCAAAGTTAGCATTTAATAAGGAGAAAGCAACAAGGACAACACAAAAATAATGGGAGATTTTGTTTGTAGGATCTTTCATGGTCATTATTGGGTCCCTCCACCAGATTAGGACCATCTGTCTCTTTATGACCGGCATGCCCTCCAAAACACGTGAGTCTGATTGCCCTGTTCGCACCTCTTAATTACCCTGATTAATCAACTTGTGTTAATTAATAATTGCTTTCCTTATAGATAATATTAATTAATTAAAAGCTGAGGTTTGGACAGTCCATCCATCCATCCATAAATAGACTTCTTTTTTATTTTTTATTGACTAGTTTGTGATAATGATGCGTTTGCAGATTAGATTAATGCTAATCCATATTTGTTTATGGCAAATGAACTTGCCGATTATAACAGGTACTTCTATATTTTAGCCTAGAAATCCAATCAAAGTCGGACACCTTTTTTTTTCTTTTTTTTTAATTAGAAACCGAAATGATTCCCATCTTGGGTTTGTTTTCCCAAAAAAAATTAATTTCTTTCTTTTTTTCGCAGTTGGAACATCATAATGGCCACCACAAAAAATCTAACCAAAGTTTCTAATCCAACACCACAAAAATCATACCATATTGATTGATGATTAAAGTATTTTAGAAAAATCTTCCCTCCCAAATATCTTCTTGTATGTTGTTTTCATTGATAGAATTTACGTTTTTTTTAACCTAGGTATTCTTTTATAATATTAGAAATGAGACTCATCATATTTAGAATGAAAATGATAAAATTTAATTACTTTTAATAAATATAATTAACTTCATGATTCAAATTATGTAACTTGATAGAAAAGTTATATGAGAATTAGTTCGGTTATCACTGCGCCAACATTATTGTTGGGTAGAATTGGCACTTGTTTGTTGATCATAAATTATATAATTCACTATTTAAGGGTGACAATATTTATTATTGTTTACATGGTTTGTTTTGTCATTTTCCATCCACTTATTTGCGTAGTTATACTCATCAATCTTGATTGTAATCTTATGCATGTTTCACAAGTGACATCAATATATAATAATAATAATAATAATGTTTGTCCAAATTTTTCAACGAATCAGTCATGCTAAGGATATGAAATTGACAAATTTTGTTTGATACCACGTCTCTAAATTGTCTTGTCCTTCGATTTGTAATCAAATCCATTTGCCGTATGCATTTTGGATTCCCTAAAAGAATATCATACAAAGAGATAGCTACAATAGTATACTTCAATGAAATGTCAATACATCGGCAAGCCAATTGTCATCTATACAAAACATTTGGTCACCATCACACCTTTGTCATGCACCATCTTTTCTAAGCGTGGAGGTTGGCTAGAAAATTAATATTCCCATCATAGTTGTATTTTAGTGCTTTCTTGATCACTAGATAAATTCTAGGGCACAATAATTGTTTTTTTTTTTTTAAGAATTATTTTCAAAGCATGGACCATGTTTTGAGCTTAATTTGCGGTTAATCAAAGCTAAAAAGAGCAAAAATGTATTGCGTAAATCATCGGCTAATTGACGATTGTTTAAAAACATTAATTTCTATGTTTTTTCTTTTCTTTTTCATTTTCTTTCTATTGTTTGATTATATATTTGGTTATTCTTAATTTATTTATTTATTTTGTAATCACACTTAGAAAATTAGTTAAAGTAGTTTGGCATCACCGACCCCTCAATATGTCGATTTCTGATGATCTCATTTTCAAAGCATTAGTTGGTTGTTCATTTCTAAAATTAATTACTTCTTCTACCTGTTATTTTAGGTTTGTTGACATAAGTATGATAAAAACATCTGCCTTTGAATTCATTGATTAAAGGGATTTTTTTTCCCATTATACTTTCAACCAAAGCACAAACCAACACGGTTTTTGTTATTATTATTAAAAAAACAAATTATTAATCAAAAGAAATCTTGGATTATTAATTAATTGTTAATTGAGAAAGTCAATTTGTGGATTACACCAATTAAGCACAAAATGGACGGATTATTAGTGCATAGTCAGGATGAAGGGTCCCAATATTGTACCCTTAACAAGTTTATTCGATAGTGACAGTCTAACATTTGATAGTTTTTTAACCTAGATTGCATCCTAATAGTACTATATGAAAAAATAAAAAAGGGTGTTAAAAAATGGTATCTTTGGAGATAGTTGGGATTGTCAAAGGGGGAGGGGGGATTAATTAATAATTAAGGAATTAATTACTGTATAAATTGTTTTCAAATGGCACGCATCATGGGGTGTAATTTAGTCGATTTGTTGTTGTGCATTGCACATTGGAATCCCCTAAACCCTGAATTTTCAATGCGACTCTTTACCGAAATCAACAACCAAAATATATTATGAAAATACACACACCACCACCATCATCCTATGAAAAAAGATATGTGAATAAACTAAAGAAAAAGCTAGCTAGATAGCCCAACTTCAATGCTTAATTTTGGTCCCCTTTACTATATAGAATCACACATCCATTTCATGTGGGGCATATCCTCCTTTTTAACTTCTCTTCTACCACCATTAATTTTTCATGTCACAACAATGAATACTATACTAAACTTGTGCAAGTGAATTTATTATATAATAGCAAGCTCGAATTCATCGTCACGTACACACTACGCACAAAGCCAACCAAATGCCGACGATGAGGACAATGACACTTGAGCCAATGGCTTTTTCGAAAGAAAAAAAAAAATTGGGTTTTTTCTGAGGACATAAAAAGAGAAACCAACCCTAATAAGTATCTAGGGGTCCATGCATTGTGTTGTGCCTTTATATCTTTTTGTGTGTAGGATTTGAGAGTTGATGTAAAAGAAGAGATGGAAATGTGTGTCATATAAGTTGTCCACTTTGGTGATATAAACCATATAATATTATTCCATATTTTCAGTCGAGGTGGGGTTTGCTAAAGCAATGGACAGTACAAAGCATAGAATATGGATCCCAATCAAGAGAAGGCAAGCCATGGGGGCCATGATGGGAACCCTAACTTTCTTACCTTGTGAAAGGGGGCACTCATGTACCTGTCCATCATCTTAGAATTGATTTTGTTGCTCCTCTTTTCCTACTTTTCTTTTTCTTCAATCTCTTGATGCATTTTCTCTTTGTACCTGGGGGTCCACACATATATGCCACAAGCCATCGGAGAAGGCAAGGTCAAACTAGAAATAGATCATGACTCGAAAATACCATTTCTTAACAACTGTGCATCATGACGTCTATCCCAACCCAACAAAACTATATGGTGAAAACTGTTAAAAATAAAAAAGAATTTTTATCACGTCGACAAAGTGCTTAATGAGATTGCTATTATGCTAAACACAGCCCGTTTTGTTGAAACCAATGGGAAATGCCTAGCTAAAAAATAAAGATTGATGAACCATTGTTTTGGAGCTTACAACGCAAACCTAAATTGACTGACAAGCTATCTAGGGTTTTGCTAATGCATCTTCCAATTCAAATTATTTATGCACATTCTCAATCTAGCTACGAGGTTAAAGGGTGATGGGTAATACTCTAATTTTTCTTTTGAAAAGGCATGGTGGGGTCAAGATAAGAATCCACAACACCCCAAAATAAAGAAGGCATAAACCATTATTCATCTAGAAATCATATCTTACACAATGAATGAATGAATTTTTTCCTTTATGTGGGAATTTCAATGACCTGCCATGAGTCTACTTTACGTGGATGGATTTGGTGTGATGGGTGGTGGAGTAAGGCAAAAGATAAAGACATTGTTTATTGCAAATTTGAATCCAGAAAACCCCACTACATGGATGAAACATTGAAAAGAGAAATTAAAGAAACATGTATTAATATACTCCATAAAGTAAAGGAGCTAGCTAGGGAAACTGTTGCAACAATTTTTATTTTTATTTTTGCTAGGTTTGACAGATTTGCTGTGAAAGTGTAAACATCAGCTTCTCCCACTAGCACAATATATCCATGTGCTATGACCATCAAGTCTCACTCATCCCATTAATGGGATCTTGGAGATTGTGGTTGCAGACCCAACTCCTCCATCTTTGGTAGAATCATTATGCTTCCTCTTCCCTTCTCTCACATCAATAGTTCACTTTATCTAAAGTGCTGCAAATAGTTCCTTCTTGTCTACATTAGGCACCACCACCCAAAAGCTGACCACTAAAATCATCCATGTTAGCTTGCCTGAGCTAAGTGGGCGAACATGATAACCAGCATAGAATTGATTTTCCATGTGGATGTGGATGGATAGGAGTGAAGAGACATTGGATTGGACTAAGTATAGACTTACAATAAATAAAAAAAAGTGATTCCCAATGATATATACCGTGAACAAAGAGAGATGGCTTGTACTATGTTCTCAATCTTTTCTCCTATTTTTCTATCCCAATTTCAAAGTTGAAAATTCTCAAAGTTGAAAACGAAATGAACTTGATTAGTAGTTGAATTGAAGGTGACATTAAAAAGAATCGGCCAAAACATTGGACCGAATAAATGGATGAAATCTTAGGTAATATTTCCAACATGGGATTGCATGATGATTTTGTGCCATCACCAATTTGTACAAATATGGGGGGTATGTGTTGGCCCTACCAACAATGGATCATTAGAACTTGTCGTCTGAAAAAATAGGATCCTATTTGCATGATCATGGCCCTAAAAATAGTCTGGGAAATATGATAGACCTAAGGGCATATCAAGTTCCATGATTCTATTTTTTTGAAGTGCTCCAAACTAGTCCCAAAATGGACCAACCTCAACTGACCGGGATCAACACCTACAACATTGACTAACTAGCTAGTTCTTAATCTAATACTATAGCACTATCAGTATCATGTCTAATCTGTCCATAACTCAAAATTAATGGAGGATCAATGCAAATCAGAAGGATTATATCAAGTGTAATATCAGCCTGAAACAAGATTAGACAAGATTACATCAAGTTGTAATTTCTTGAAATATTTCAATCAATCACTTCGGACGGCTCATATTAATTTGGAAACGTGGATGCTTCCACTTTGTTGATTTTGTTTTTTGATAGGACTACGAAATTTGGATGCTTTATACCTCATTGTAGCAGCAGGGAGAAAACCAAATGAAGGAGATTAGTTGGATGTCATTTCAGTTTCTCGTGCTCTTCTGTCTTGTTGCTCTATTCATCATAAAAAATGAGGTTATCATGCATTTACAATACAGAACAACCATCTTACAAACAATTTTTATATGCTCTTATTAATTTAAAAAAATTAAGTAGATGAATGTGCATGATAACATCTTGGTAAGTATATCGAGTATTAAGTTTAGGTCTATTTTTTTGTTGATGTACGTTTGTTACCCTAACCTAAATGATCATTAGATCTTGACCTTTTCTTTTCTTTTCTTCTTTCATGTATTTAATTTTAAGTTATGTGATTTGCTAATAATTATAGAGTTTAATTTCTTTATAATGTTAATAATTTTCAGGCATTTAATTGCTATTTTTTTTACTTAGGTATTCTCATTTTATATTGAAACTAAGACTAATCATATTCGAAACTGGAACAATAAAGTTTAACTTTTTTTAATAAATACAATTCTAAAATTTAAATCCTGTATTTTAATAAAAAATTCAGCTTGTACCAATTCTTGCCATTAGCTAGAGCAACCACTTGTTAGTTAATTGCTCATAATTTTAAGTTACTCTAACCCAAACGATCATTTAATTTCTCTGCTTTTCACAAAAAAAGAAAAAAAGGAGAGAGGTTATTCTAACTTCTTTATAATGTTTCTAAAATCAATATGAGCACTCACTTTTCAACCAATCAACTAATATATAGGATTCAAGTTCGGACCTAAAGATCAAATGGAATAAAACATGGACAAGTAAATCCCTCAAATTCTCATTATCGTGGGATTTATCATTCCAATGGAAGTAGACTACTCAAGAATTTCAAAGATTTTCACTTCATATTGCTCCTCAAACACCATAAAAAAATCTAAGGGCTCGATAGTATTATTTATGTCGATATATTTGTAAGATAGATAGGATTTAAATCTATCAAATGCCTCTCAATTCTTAAATTTTACTAATGTAATTCTGTACTGTTATAATACTAAAATAAAGTGTTTCTGAATTGATCTCATATTTTAAGAATTTCAATTTCAATATTATATAAACACTTATATATACATATGGAGAATAGATTGAATAATGTGAGCCTTCCATGAATAATAATATAAAGCAAACCAAATAGAGTTCATCTCAAATACACGTTTTTTCATTGTAATTTTAGTCGTAAAAGCCTCTTTTCATGTGAGTAGAGATTAAAATGCAACAAAATGGGCCACTTGATACAAACATGATAGGACTCAATAAAATCATTGGGCTGATAAAGGGTTCCACCACGAATCAATGATATATAAAGATTCCCCACCAATCAACCAAAGGGTCTCTCTTCCGAATCAATTAATATACTGACTTTCTGCAGTTTATAATGCAAAGATGTACACTACAGTATTTATCAGGCAAGAAAACAAACCAAAAGATGATGATGATGATTCATATGGCACAGGAGGAGGCAGCTGGGAGACTGACCCCAGCATATGTACACCTCATAAGTATGGACCTTTTGTAGACACAATTCTCATTTGTAGATTTAGATTGATGTTCTAATAATAGAGGGTCATTCATAATCATACGAGTGTGGCCAGAGATTTGGAAAAGATTTCTTTGTTTCGTAAGTTTGCATGTGAAAGAAAAGACACCTTTGTTTTTTTTTTATACCACAATTCTTCTTTATTCACATCAATTAATGTAAATCAGGTATCAATTAATCTAGTTAATAAAGTTATTTGCTGTCCTCCCAAGAGATTTGAGTTGCATTAACCACCATCATGTAACAGAAGCTTAGGACCAAAAATGGAAAAAAGAACACTTATGCAACCAAATTTTCACCTAACATAAATATGTTTGTAATTTGTTTGGATTTTGTTGAAGAGTAAGCTGAAATCAAAGGATGGGCTTGTGAAAGGGGGAGTTGGGATGGGAGAATGGTTTTCGGTCTTAGGCCCAAGGAAGGGCAAGCTAGCAGGATTGTTCAGGAAAGAGTTACAAAGTTTGAGAGGCAAAAGCAAGGACTCTTGCATGGATATAAAGGAGCAAGGTCTATTGAAGATTTTGACCTGGGAAAAAAGCATTGTTCTTGAGCATTTAGAGAGACGACTGTGATTTCAGTGATTAAACATGACGCTTTAGGATGGATATAGAACAATCAAGCAACAAAAAGTAGAAGGTTATGGGTGCAAAGGCACCGACAATATCTAACCATTCCTTGAACCCGAATCATTGGTTTTAAGTTGCCTTAATCATCTGCTGAAGATGAATATCTTGGGCAGTTAAGCCACAAGTTCATACATCCATAAGATGATCATGTGAGACATTGGCTTCGCTAAATCACAACTCATCGCTAGATTGCTACGTCTATGTGCAATGGGCCATAACATCAACCTGCTCCAATTTTCAGTCATTAATATGCATAATCATGATCTGCCATAACATTGATTCGTCACCCCCACCATAGGTGGCAAAACTTGAAATGATAAAAATATGCCTGCCAATGAGATGGAATATTTCCACAGAAACAATCATAATCACATATATGTTCAGGGTAGACCCCAGTACTACCAAATATTTAATCCTCCAGTCAGCAAGCCAAATGGACTTGTGAGCATGATAGTAGCATAATGGCAAAAAATCCAATCGCCAGGGCCTGCATCGCTATTATTTTCAATAGGTAACAGAAGCAAGAACCTGAAAATACAAGTAAACTATCCAGCTTAAGGAAAGATAAGGCACGCACATACTCTCCCAATGTGGATACCATCAGCATCATGTAGAAGAGACAAGTAAATTTACGCCACAAATTTGCCATTTTCTTGAATCATTTTATCATGACAACAACAGCCACTGGTCCATAGCCACAGGTGGATGTTATTTAAGGAGGAAAACGAGTTAATTTGTTCTTGTTGTTATCTTGATGTCTTCATAGGTTGCTATTCCTCTTGTTCTATAGTGATATTGCCTTCGTTCTCCAGTTGTCATGACATATAGAAGGTTATGGGTGCAAATTAAGGCATCGAGAATATGTAACCATTCCTTGAACCTCGATTCATTTGTTTAAAGTTGCATTAATCATCTGCTGAAGATGAATATCTTGGACAGTTAGACACTAGTTCATCCATGCATAAGATGATGCTGTTTGTCATATGTGCCATCACTATGGTGAGACCATCATCTAAAGCGCATGCGGGTGAAGAGATGACCATGTGAGGCATTGGCTTCGCTAAATCACTACTCCGAAGATTGCATTGCTGAAGATTCCTTCCATGGGCAATGTCTTGTAACATCAGCCGTTACATAACGTAATGAGTAGCATATAATATAATGATTGTTATATAACGGTTTAAAAATACCCCACCATCTTTATTTAGCATTATAAGAGCCTCGTTGTCGTTTCACATGAATAACAACAAATAACAATATTATTGTTATATAATCTTTATTATTTGCCATTATATATATAATGGGATTATACCACAAAAAAAAAAAAAATCAACTTTTGTACTTTGCAGCCTATCTCCGGGATGTTAGTATATTTAATTAGTAAAACATAAATATAACAAGAAAAAACACAAGGTTTAATGTGGTTTGGTCATGACGACTTACATTCATGGGAGAAAGGTATGAGCTTGTTTTTATTTTTGTTACATCCCAAAATACAAAAGCAGCAGCTTCCTTTTATAGGAGCCATATACATCAAAATACGAAGTCGAAATTACGGAAAAATCGAACGGAAAATCGGGGTCATATTTCCTTATGATTTTCTATGATTATAATCACCAATACGGTCATTGATTTCTTCCTTAATAGGAGTTCTATCCCTCATAAATTGGAGGCATATTATTCACACTCTCTCTCAAGTTGATAAATAGATATCATTCATTTCTAGCTTGTTAAGATAGATATCAAAGCTTGATTTCCGAAGAGCTTTTGTCGAATATCAGCTTTCTAAGATTTGGTAGGGACATAGTATAGAACAATAGTTCCATTGTCTATCTTGGTTTTGATAAAATTTCTATTAATCCTTACATGTTTCATTCGATCATTTGGATTGAATCATGAACAACATTAATAGCTGATTTGTTGCTATTAAACAACTTCATAGGACATGTTATTGACATGTTTAAGTTTATCATTAACTTCTAAATCCAAATAAGTTCATTAGTTCCTTGAACTATAGCTCGTACTCAGCTTCGTAGTATCCGAGCCACCACAAATTATTTTTTGCTTCTTAAAGTCACTAGATGTCCCTATATCTTTGTACAATATCTAGTTTTTGACTTGTTATCATCAATACCTCCTGCCCAATATGCATCTAAAAAACCAACAACATCTATATCTTTATTTTTCTTAAATAGTAGACCTTTGCCCGAACTCCACTTCAAGTATCTCAAAATCTGATTTGCTGCCTCCATATGCCTTTTAGTGACAACATCCATAAATTGACTTATTATACTTACTCTAAAAGCAATATCGGGTTTTGTGATTGATAAACAAATGAATTTTCCTACCGAGTGTTGATGCCTTTCTTTATTCACTAGGGGATCATCATTTGATACTTTGTGCTTCTAGTGTTTTTCCAAAGGTGTACTAGATGGTTTCCAACCAAACTTTCCTATCTCCTTGAGTAAATCTAGTATGTACTTCCTCTATGAGATAAGATTCCTTTGTGACTCCTTGCAATTTCCATTCCTAGAAAGTATTTCAGATCTCATAGATCTTTTACAATAAACTCTACCTGAAGTCTCTTCTTAAGATTCTTAATTTCCACTTCATCATCACCTGTGATGACCATATCATCAACATATACAATGACTATAACATGTTGACTCGACTCACTCATCTTAAGATATTTCTAGTAAAATATAAACCAAATGGAAAAATGGATTGATTGAAGGCAAGACTAGTAGCACAAGGCTTCACTCAGTCCTATGGGATTGATTATAAAGAAACCTTTACATCAGTTGTCAAACTCAAAACTATCAGAATCCTATTATCTATTATTGCTAATTTGGATTGGAGATTACGTCAACTAGATGTGATGAATGCATTCCTTAATGGTAAATTGGAGGAAGAGGTGTATATGAAGTATCCCACAGGATTCAAGGAAGAAGGAGAAGTAAACAAGATCTGTAAATTGAAAAATTATTATATGGGCTGAAAAAATCTCCTAGAGCTTGGTTTACAAGATTTAGTATTGTAATGAAGAGTCTTGGCAAAGAATCCAATCGCAAAGGCCTGCATCACTATCATTTTCTATAGGTAACAGAAGCAAGAACCTGAAAATACAAGTAAACTATCCAGCTTATGGAAAGACAAGGCACGAATTGCATTGCTGTTTCTGATGCCAACTACTCTCCCAATATAGATACCATCAGCATCATATAGAAGAGATAGGTAAATTTACACCACAAATTTGCCATTTTCTTGAATAATTTTATCATGACAACAACAGCCACTGGTCCATAGCCATAGGCGGATGTTATTTAACGAGGAAAACGAGTTAATTTGTTCTTTGTTGTTGTCTTAATGTCTTCACAGGTTGCTATTCCTCTTGTTCTTTAGTGATATTGCCTTCGTTCTCTCGTCGTCATGACAACAAAGAACAAAGATAGCTCTATTTCCTCCTTATATAACAAAAATAGCCAGATCAATCGAGTGGAATGGAATAAGAAGACATCTAAGGTAAATTGCAACAATAGAATGAAACTGTAGTGACAGAATATCTAGAAGACAACAGAGATCGCTTGCTCATATGATGCAAGTTATCTAGGAAGGCTACCAAGATCATTTGCTCAAAAATGTACCCAAGCTTGTAGCCTCTGCCCCTTTACATAAAGGCTTTTTCGAAAACAAGTACTTCAGTTCTTCTAAACAAACAAATTCCAGTTAGGTGGTTGATGCTAGTTCATATTCTTTCAGCAGTTCAAGATGGACTAATAAAAGAGGTATAACAGATCTCAAATTCTATTGCACAAGAACCTGCATTTAAATTTTGTTCTAGAAATAGAGAAATCACAGTTTCAGGTAAAGAATTGTGAAGATGGCATCACAGTACAAGAATCAATTGGTGCACGACCACTAAGAGCTACAAACTTGTCACGAAACGAAAGTAAAGGGCATTTTTCGATCAGATTAGAGCCATCATAAGCATCTTTACGGAACACAGTACCCCTTGCACCTTTATTAGTGATGTAAAACATACCATGGTGCTTTATCAAACAAAGCACTAATCTAGATGGCAACATATACTCAGAATGAAAAGCATCCAATTGAGAACATGTCATCCTCTTCTCCATAGTCAAACTAAGGAGCTCATGCAGCACTGCCGCCACACGCTTTCGCGCCTTAGGATCAGCAACTTCAAATCTCCTTGCATTCAAATATGGAGAAGGGAATTCCATTCTTTGCCACTTCTCAAGTTCCTCAAGATAACCCATGTTTGGCCTAAACCCAGCAGCAAAACACATTTTAAAAGCAAATGGACCAAAAAAGTTACCATCTTTTGATATTCTAGCATGCCTTTTCGTCGGATTGATAGCAGGAACACCTTCAAGTCTCAATCTTTCCTCGCGAGAAGTAACTGCCAATGAAGAATCCCAATTCTCCAAATGAAGATAAGCTTTCCCATCAGAACCTTTAATTGAAAAAAATTCTGGGTACTTTGGAATCAAAGAGTTCTGGAAATCTGGCGGCAAACCCAATTCATTTTCAATGAATTCGATCTTCTCTAATGGCACCCTACAATCAACTGACAACATCAATAACTTCTTCAAATTCTTAACTAAAATGGGCTCCATCAACTCCCTAGCTTCAGCCTCTTCTCTCGCAATCTTTTCAGCTTTCTCAGTGAGAGTAACAAAAAGAGGTGTCCTACTATTACTACCACCACCAACATGAAAAATTGCAGGGTACTTTTCAATGACAGACATAAAGTTCCATTTTTGAACAAAACCAACTTCCTTTTCAAGGTCTCTGAGAAGGAGAGACTGATGTTTTTGTGATTGGAGAATGGACTTCAGCTTTAGTATTAAAGATGGTTTCTTTTGTAAGTCCATGGCTCTGTCAAGGTCTTGTACTCTATGGTATATTTTCTTCTTAGGTCTTCTTCCTCCACTTGATTTTTGCCTCAATTGAATCCATATCGAGCCTGATTTTTGAAATGGCGTTGGAGATGACAGTGCATAGGAGTCTGTTTTGTGACAAAGACAGGATTTTGAGGATTTTTGTAAGCCATAAAAAATGGATCTTCTATGCATTTTTGTGTTCTTTGGAAAAAATATTCAAACAGTTGGAGTGCAGAATGTGGAGTTTCGGTGTTGACTGTGCTGGGAGAGAGAAGTTCACAAATGGGCTTGGATCATTTGGTTATTGGTGGACTGACTTTGCATAGTTGGCTCTTGTCAAAAAACCTTAGAGCCCCGTTTGGCAAACAAGGTTTTTTTTTCTTCACTATCTTTTTATAATACTCAAAATCATTCATCCGTTTCTAAATTTTTAATTGCATCTTATTTATTTTTGAAAAATTTTAAAATATTCAATCTATCCTTTCAATCAATTTTTCAAACTATTAACACCTTTTTTTTTTTTTAATCAAAATGCCTCTTACTAAAATGTTTTAAAAAAAAAATCTAAAGACTATGAAAATTAAGAAATCAAAATGACATTTGTATTTTCATACTATATTTGGAATACTAATGAGGAATCAGAATGAAATTTAAATTTTTTAATAACTAGTTTTTTATACAAATAAAAATAATGATTAAAAAATAATTTTATCAAACTATAATAATTATAAAAATAATAAAGATGATAGTGGTGGTGGTTGTTATGGCAGTAAAAGTAATTAATAAATAAATAATAAACAAAATATATTATTATTTTGAAAAAAAATTAATTCTCATTTTTTGTTTTTATTATCATATTTTATATAGGAATGAAGTTGTGTGTAAATTTTCATTCTCATTTCCATTTCATTCTTTTTAACCAAATAGCTACAACATAGTAATAAAACTTTTATTCTCATTTTCATCACTCTATTACTAATTACCAAACAGGGCCTAAAAGATTAGAAAATAAACCCTAAATTTAAGGCAATATCACCATGTAGCAATATTTCCATCATGAATAATCACCGTACTTTGCTAACGAAAGTGGACTGCAAGCATTTGAAAGATTTGGAGTCTAAAACAAGATTTACAAGCACGGGAAATGTTAGGATTTTAGGGATAACACAACCACTAAACCAAGACGAAGATGAGAATAATCATGCAATGCATCCATGAGAGAAACAGAGGGATACTTCGGTTTTGCTCATCGATTGCTTAAAAACACTACTACCTTCCTAGGCTACCTTGTGATTCATGCTTTCTGTGGCATTCTTGCAAAAGCAATATTTATCAAAAAGGGAAGAAAATAACAAAAGCATCATGAAATCTTCAATTAGCTTACAAAAACTTCCTCCATTTTTAAATAAACTTAAATTGCTCTTCATTCAACTGAACAAGCAAGACAAGAAGTCTTGTGTACATGTCACCCCATCTGCAACTCATGGGATTGCTTTGCCAACCTTCATCATACATACATATTTACTAAATCTACTCCTTTCTAACTCAATAAACAAGGGAGGAGCTCGACTCCAAATAAAAACAACAAACTAACACATAACTACAAAGTATGCATGGTGTACAGTATCAAATGAAGTATACGGTTCTATGACGCTATGGCTAGACCTAGTATTATTGAAACTCTAAAAATGTAGTGAAACTCTAGGAAAAACAAAAAAGGGTGAAACAGTTTTTAGCAATAATGTTGCTGAAAGGTGGTTTATCTAAACAAGAAAACGAATTTAAGAGGATGTGTAACAAGCGAAGAGTAAATTTGTAGATGTGAACCAACAGGCTATGAATTCTTCCCCTCTTGAGGCTTTGGTTCAGATAAACTTGGATGCTCCATATATAACTGCAAAGACAGAGGTTCACTGCTCATTGATTTGATTGGGGTTATTAGTGGAGGTTGCTGCCACTGCTTTGTGTCTGTCGGGATCCATAACTCTGCATCCTTGCTTGTACTAACATGAGGGAGTGAGCGGAAATAAGCGGTTATCTCCCACCTGCAATCTGGTAAAAGGGAAGTTTAATATTCACCTCTAAATCTAAAACTGCTGAAGAATTCACAGAAGCTAAGTGATAGAGCTAAGAGCAAGAGCATTTGCTCGGAAGCTGTGGATCGAGCAACTCAGACCAACTAAGAATACCAAATTACTGCCATATTGACCATGTACCTCGCGGAAGAACTTTGGTAAGACCTTCTGAGACAGAGAGTTTGACTAAGAATGATCTAAGAGAAAACTCCAAGTCACCTTCTTCCACCTTTGAGCCATTAGACTGGTTCACTGCGAGCTTGAAAATGAATCTCTCCAGTGGGATGTTATCACTGTCAAAGAAAATCACAGCTACTCTCTCCACCAGTCCCTATTTTAAAGCATAGAATAGGTTGTTACACATGCAAAAATTTGATTAATGAGAATAAAAAACCAGGGTAAACTCAACTGAAAAGGGAATCAATTCACCATTGTAAATGGCTCAATACTCAGGGCTGTACGTTATTTGAGCATACTGCATCAAAATAGACACTCCAATTCAGCCTATTTAATAGAGGATAGAATTCACTACACCACATGTATAACTTTGCAAAACAACGGGAAGGTACTCAAAACAGCTAAGAAATAACTCAATAAGAACACAATTGAACAAGTTCACCCGATAAATTCTGAATGTTTCAAAGTCAATTTTTGATAAAGAATATGAAAGAGAACCAAGAAGTACTCTAAAGCACGAACATTGTCAACAACTTGGTAACACAAACACACTCACAGACATGGATACAGAAATGACCAAGTCCAAGCAGTTATCAACAAAACCTAGATTTCTACTAGCATCAGAAAGCAGTCGTATCAAAAATAAATCAGCAAAAGAATTTCTTTTTGTAGACTTTTAAGCACATTCACATACCAGATTTCTACAAAGTACTAGAAAGGATTTTTTCCATTACTACTACTACATTTAAAACCAACCAGCAAAATGTTTTCTTTTCCATACATTCAAGCATAATGACATGCACTAAGTGAAAGATAGAAATAGCAAGAACTAACCTTTTGGATAAAAGGAAGAAGCCCAGAAACCGCAGAGTGAATATAATCTCTAAGCAGTGGATGCCTAGCTCTCTGCACCACCACATGCATATACCTCCTCCTCTCAAATGCATCTTCACCAGTCAAATCCCAAACTTGATAAATGAACATGCTAAACATTATAAAGTACCAAACTTTATACTAAAATGAGTGGTTGTTATTTTTAGTACCAGAAGGATAAACTCCTTTGAGGAAAACAACTGAAGTAATTGCCACCTCCAAGAACTCAACTAAAATTCTAGCTGTGTCAGTTTTCAATACAGAGAGTGAGTTCAAGAATCAATCTGTCATAAATAAAGAAAAAAAAAATCACAGTGAGGAAGCCTAACCTGCAGAAGATTGATTATTTTTACTGTCCATTTATCTGCAGAAAAGAAAACACACAATTCATGATAAAACAAAAACTGGTAGTTTAAAAACAATCGAAATTCACTGAGACCATATATCTGACTCAGCAACCTAACAAGAAAGGACCCCAGAACGATAGAATTGTGATGAAACCAGAAATTTGCAAGATAACACTAATTTAATCCAAAATTTATATATTTAAGGCCTTACTTACAGTTTTAAACCATGGCAAGATGTCAGGTGAAATGAAATTACATGAGTGCTATTGGGTTGATCAGAGGAGAGGCTAAAGCTCAATTGCTTGTAGACAATGGCTCCCTTTCAGTTATCAAGCTTTCTAAAGCTTCCCAAGAATTGCCGAGGAAGGATCCCAATTACCAAGAATTTCCTCTATGCTGGTTTACTGAGCCTTAGAGGCCTTTTGTGGCTAGATCCTTTGGACCCTTGTGTTTGTGGGCTTAGAAGTCCTTTGCAATTCTTGGCTCTGGCTCTATTTCAATAAAATTCCCAACGTAGAAGAAAAGAAAAGAAAAGCAAGAAAATTTTTGTCATTTTTAGGCTCTTGAATTTTCCCTTTTTCAAGAATGGATTTCTTTTGAATTATTTGCGTTTTTAATCTATTCATTATGCTTACATTGAATAAAAGATAAATGAGCAAGTTGAAATACTTAACAAAATCTCAATTATCAACTAAAATAACTCAAGAAAAACACTATTTGGTTTGTTGAAATGAATTTTTGATTTCAATGCTCATTCTCCATGAATTTGTAATAATTCCCTTTTCTCCATTTTTATGAACTAGCAATTAAGTTTAGGGATTTCGTTTCAATTGGCAGTCTATGTCTAGAATTTATTAAAAACAAATAATAATAATACTCCAAGAGAAATTCCTCATCACTTATTTAGGACAACCGATTAAAGTATATTTAAAAAATAAAACTAGTGAATAGAGATGAACATTATTTGATTTAAATGAAAAACCAACCTGAATTTCAATTTTTAACTCAATTTTTTGTTAAAAAAAATAAAAGAAACGATTTATTTTTGGTTTTTGAAATTTTTTTATTCGGTTTAAAATGAAAACCAAGTTTATTTTATTTTATTTTTTTATTTTTTAAGTTTCTAAATAACAAAAATAAACTAAAAAAATTAATATCTCAATATTATTACAGATATACGATGGATTGATACATTTTTTATTTAATTATTTTTTAAAAATTTTGAAAAAAAATTGGTTTGAACAAAAAATTGAATAATAATTCAATTTTGATTTTGGTTTTTGTTTTTTTTAGGTTCGATTAACTGAAAACCAAACCTAAGTTGCTAGAATCCAATTAAAAAATCGAAGGACCACCCTAATGTTGAGGATTCTAGATGACATTTAAGAATATTTTTCTCAAAGGAAAAAAAAAAAAAAAAAGAGAGAAATATATTGTGGGTGGATAAATATGTTTGGATAGTAGTTTCTTAACAAATCCAAACTCAAAGCCTAGCCCAATGACAGAAAACAAAAGGTCAAAAAAACAATAAACAACATTATTTGCACCCAATTTCAAAGATACAAAAATATCATATTCAGAAGTAGAGAGAGCAGCGGTACCTAGTCAGAAACCCACAAGCAAAGAAAACCTCACTATTTCTGCTAACTTCATGTCTTCAATTCAACAGAACTTCTGAACTCTCGCTCTTTACTGTTTCTCTCGATGGATTCATTGGCTGTCCTAAAACCAATCACTGCAATCCACCATTTTCCTTCAAATTCCATAACTTTTCACCCTTCTCTCCCTCTCTACTCTCAATTCTCGCGCTTTCGTTTCAAAACCTCACATTTTGCTGTTGTTAAAAAGAAGCCAAAGGAAATTCGCTGCGAATTTGATAGCAAAGTTAATGGCTCTCCTCTTTCTTCAGACTTTGACTCTCGTTTCCTTGACAAGGTAGTAATTTTCATGTTCTGTTAGCAACATGGTTTAAGTTATCATAGCTTTTAGTCCTCTACTCCTCTTTATTTGCTTAAATGACATTAAAGTTGGGCTCTTGTTGTTGGGTTTCTTTTTTTGTTAATGTTTAAAGGATCCCTTTTGTTTTCTTGCAAAGATGTGCCTTGGTGTTGGTTTGTTTAATGGATTCTTCGAGTTATTTGAAAAGGGTTCTATAGATTAGCACTTAATAGCCCTTAAAAACTTACTAACTTTTGGTTCCAAAATTGGACAAAACTAGCATCTTATTTTGTAATTCCAACAATACGAGCTTGTGGTTTTGTTGTTTATTCTCAGTTCTATTGTTATAGTAGGTGGGGTGAGTTCAGCTTTGAGGCTTATTTGCTGGATGGTATTAAATATCACTACATGGTCAATGAAGTAGAGAGTTGATTGTGGCATTATTGTATTTGTATTTGGTGCAGCAAAAAGCTTTGGAAGCAGCTATGAATGACATAAATAACTCATTTGGAAAGGGGAGTGTTACAAGATTGGGGAGTGCTGGTGGAGCATTGGTGTAAGTGTTCTCCTCCTACCATAGCATTCCCTTTGTTTTATTTCCAAGTATTCGGAGTTTTGCCTCCCTGGAGCAATATTCCTTCATTTCATGGAGTGTTGGGTGCGTGCAAGTGTGAAAAAATGAACGGAAAGGTTCAATTTATGCTTGATTGCTTGTTATGGGTTTTAGCCAGATTCATTGGCAATTTAATATACTGTATTTATGTAGGATAGACTTGAAAGTAGATTTCAGCTTGTAACGTATTTCTTGCAGTGAGACTTTTCCCAGCGGCTGTTTGACGCTTGATTTTGCCTTAGGTGGAGGGCTCCCAAAAGGGAGAATTGTAGAGGTATATACCTTTTATTTGTCTAGTGTTCATCTTTGCTTTCCATTCTGGTGGCTTCCTTCACAACTCGTGATGTGAACATGCTTTGGTTTCACTGTGAAGCTTCTGAAAAGCACAGTGGTTTACTTAATTCAAGTAAAATTTGAATACGGAATATCTTTGGATTAGATAATAAAGGTTTTATTTGCCAACTCTTGTACATAACTATGCCTTTATTGGCATTTGTAACTGACTATATAGAAGCCATTTTCCAATTCCCAGACATGACATATTGTTAAGATGAAATTATAGTCTCCAACGTTAAAGAAGGCGGCCCTTTAATAAACGAGAAGCCGCCATCTAAATCAAATTGGTCTTTGAAAAATGTACTAAAATAATAGATGGATGAGTAGAGAAGGTTTTAAGGAGTATTATTATTATTGGGAATTTGATGGTTGTAACATAATGAGTCTATTGGAAATTTTCATGCAGCAGAATTCCTGAATGTCATTTATATTTTTTATTCTAATTATTTTTTGACGAATGTGAATTTGCCCGCTCCCTGTCAAGTGAAATTCTGACTTTTAAATTCTTGGAGTTTTGTCCAGCGATGAACTTTGTGGGCTCTGAAAGAAATGCTCTAATCATTATTTTTTCTTACCAAATTGATATTTCTATCCAAAATAGGCTAATAAATTTCTGATATTTTTTCTGTGCAGATATTTGGTCCAGAAAGTAGTGGAAAGACCACTCTTGCACTCCATGCAATCGCAGAAGTGCAGGTTCTTTTTTTTTTTTTTTTTTTTTTTGGTTCTGGTCAACTTGCAGGCTCTTTATTGCCTGTTGTTTTCTTTGTGCTTTTTTATCCTCGTGTCTGTATGAGGGCTAAGATGCAGTTTTCCTACGCTAAATAAACAGAAGTTCGGAGGCCATGCAATGCTTGTTGATGCAGAGCATGCATTTGATCCAGCATATTCAAAAGCATTGGGAGTGGATGTAGAAAATTTGATTGTCTGTCAACCTGATAATGGCGAGATGGCACTTGAAAGTAATATAGCTTCTCTTGGATATGTGGTTGTATAGAGAATTGGCATGATAATTATAGTAGGACCAATAGAAAATTCTGTTTCTTATGAAATTTAGTCACCTATGCTCTATGTATAAGGACTAATATCCTCGCATATCTCAGTTGCAGATCGAATGTGCAGATCTGGTGCTGTAGATCTTATCTGTGTTGATTCTGTATCAGCTCTCACTCCACGAGCAGAGATTGAAGTGTGTGACTGTTTTTTTCTTTACCATAGCTTTCAATTAAAGTGATGAGCATACCCATATTTGACTCCTTGCTGTATTCTTAACATCCAGGGTGAGATTGGGATGCAGCAAATGGGTTTGCAAGCTCGCCTTATGAGCCAGGCATTGCGTAAAATGTCAGGAAATGCTTCAAAAGCTGGTTGTACTCTCATTTTTCTTAATCAAATAAGATATAAGGTATTATGGGTTGATTGGTTTCAATATTGTCTTTGTTCATTTGGTATTTATTACATCTTCTGCTGTTCATAATAATGTATTTTATAGCTGTCTCCTCATGACTGATGAGATTACTCTTGTGGATTTTGTTAGATTGGTGTATATTATGGGAATCCAGAAGTAACAAGTGGAGGGATTGCTTTAAAGTTTTTTGCCTCAGTTCGTCTTGAAATTCGTTCTACTGGGAAGATAAAATCTGTAAGCTCAACAGCCAATTTATGTTTGTGAAGAAACAAAAAAGCATGCTAATCTAACTTCTACAATTCTATACAAGAACACCTTACGAGTAGAAGTTCATATTATTTTAGGTTAAAGGAGATGAAGATGTAGGGGTTCGTGTTCGTGTAAGAGTGCAGAAGAGTAAGGTATGTATGGCTGGTTGCAATATATATTTGAAGAATCTGTATCATTATCTTCAGATATGAAAATTGGTTTATAGATGAACATGATGCCTTTATCCATGTAATCATTTACATGACTTTTGGAAGAACTATTTTTTCTTGGGTTGTACCTACCGTCTCACTGGGAAGACCAACAATATGAAGACCATGGAATGAGATTAAACACATTCCAGCTTATTACACTATTGCATATTTCTCACTTGGATACGTTATTACATTGCATTTGAGGGTCTCACTGAAATCTCTATTTGCTAAGAAAATTCCTTGCTCTCCTGCAAACATCCTCTGGAAATGCCATCACTAAATCAATTACACTGCCCCTGCTCTGATTTTTTACCATTCTTTTTATCATATATTGTCAGTACATTTTCAAAGAGCTATTATTCTGATTTAGCTGTTTGGACAGGTCTCAAGGCCATACAAGCAAGCTGAATTTGAAATTATATTTGGAGAGGGAGTGAGTCAACTGGTTGGTATTGCAATGTAATGGTTCGCATTTCCACCAATAGTGCAAGCTGTTGTATCTTTTATGACTTAGATTTAACTTTCAGGGTTGCATTTTGGATTGTGCCGAGATGATGGATGTTGTCGTAAAGAAAGGTTCTTGGTATAGCTATGGGGACCATAGGTTGGCCTCTGAACTTCTAATTTCGGCTCTTGGTGTTGATTTCAGTTCAGTACTGTTGGTTTATATATCAATTATTTGAACTTTAAAATCACTGCTCATTATTTTGTCTTGTTTATTGTTTTGAAAAAGGTTGGGACAAGGAAGAGACAAAGCATTACAGTTCTTGAGAGACAACCCTCATCTTCAGGAGGAAATAGAGAAGGTTGGTTGCTTATGCCTTTTGAACGTTTCTGCTTAAGTCCATTAATCTGGTGCTAAGTTGCCTTTAACTGAAGAGTAGGATTGTGCATCTATCATTTTTAATCATGTCAGAATGGGGAAAAGAAAAAGGAACAAACAACAAAGCCTCTTTGGAAGTACTTGGAACTTTATATACTCCATTATTTTTTGTAGAGCCTCTACAGTGCCATTATTGGGAGGATTATGGTAAAGAATGTTTTTTTTTTTTTTTTTAACATTTGCAGATAGTTCGGTCCACAATGAATGATGGAACAGTAAATATGGGCTCTCCGCAAGTGAGGAACATGACATTGCCTCCTCAAGATGAAAATATTTACGAGGAGATTTGATGGGGGGATGTAACAGAATTTTTTGATTGATTATAAAAAAATTTCTGTCTCATCGGGCTGGAAGGCCGGGAGGCTAGTTGAAGCCACAACAGGGGATATATTCTTTCTTCTCAAGTCAAGCCTAGGCATCCGCATCTTTTGGTCCATTCAGTTCAAATGGTTAAACTGGCTGAAATCGGTATTTTTAATCTGTATCATAGTCTCATAGAAACTGAAGCTGCGTTTTCTTGCACTTAGTTGTTGAAGCATCATCGATACATTGTTTGTTGGTGCTGGAGGATAGGGGTTTTCCTTTGAAGTTTTGAGAAGCGAAGGTTAACAGAAATTACTCGTAATCTGTTTTTGCCAGATTGATTGTTGTACTTGTTACCTATCTATGGCAACCATACATTAGAGGAACACATTTTAGCATGTTTTTGAAACAGGAAGAAATGATGCGTCCATTGAATGGTTTGTTTGTCATCTACGAGAAATCATGTCTTGAGAATTCATAAGATGCCTCTTTTGGGGTAATGACATTTAGTCGAAGAGCAACAAGTAAACTTTACACTTATTATTATTATTATTATTATCATTAATCCACACACAAATTATTATAAGACAGAGGTGAATTCTGAAGGGAAATTAATTACAGGACAGATATAAACTTGGGAGATAGGCTATGATATTAGGAATTACAATAGCAGAACTCTACTGTGCTAAAGCACTTGTACTGTAAACAAGAAGTGCTCCCCCAGCAAGAAGGCCAGCTAGGGTGACAGCCCAAATTAACAAGCCCGTAGAACCTGCAATTCATTACATTGTTCGTATCGTCAATCAGATAAACTGAGCTCTTAAAGAGGGAACTAATTATATGAGATAATCATCTGTTAAAGAAATGTTCTTTTGCATCTTGAAACTGTCAAAGTGCAGCTTTTTGATGAGTTGCTTACCTCCAACATAAACTTCACCACTTGGAGACCAATCCTTAGGGTCGAAGATAGGACTGCATCAAACACCACGAAGAAATTAGCAAACTTTGGCTGGCCATATGGTTTATGCGTCAAATAATTCAGAAAATATATAGAGATAGCTTACCTGTATCCATCAACATTAGCACCATATTTGTCGACAAATTGGTACACTCCCTTTCCCTGAATCAAGCCCGAAAATTGCATTACTAAGCACTTACTCTCTTTTAGTACAGAAGAATCCATAAAGAAGGGTAAATATTGATTAACCAGGCAACATATACCACCAGCTAGATTAGCCTTTTCATTTTGTTGACATAATAAGCATAAACAAATTTCAAAAGCATGCAGCTTTCTCCCCTCCTTTCAATAGCCAGAAGGCCAAAACGACTTCTCAAACAAAAGAAGAGGAAGGCCAAATTTTGGAGGCTAAAAAGTATGGTGAAATATATATATATATATATTCATGCTTTATCCTATATTAGCCTTAATTTCAAGCATTTTAACTCTGAAACTAAGAAAAAGCAATGCATTAAGTTACCTTGGCCTTCCTCCCTGAGGCATCAACCCCATCCCTTAAGTCCATTCCACCATTGATTCCTGTATAACTCATCTAGTCAACCTCGTAATCCATGTTTTTTCTTTAACAAATAATTAAGTAAAGAGAACAAACCGTAATTAAACCACATATTCATAAAAATTAATGCAGGCCACACACACATATGTGTATTTTTTAAGAGACTGATTTGATGAAAAAATATATATATTTTGAATAATATAGAAAGATTAATAGCATGTATTCAGTTTATATTATAAATAAAGTTCTTTGGTGCCCTTTCATTGAATAAAATGTGAAGAAAATGTTACCTCAATTTTAAGGTACAGGAAAAATTAATGAAAATTGTCTGTAAAGGTTCATGCAAGAAGAGAGAATCCTTGTATCTCTTTCATAATAATACCATAAGAATCTAAATCTCCTGGATCAGTTCTAATCTACAATAAGTGATTTGTGGGGCTTGCAATATTGAAAACAAAAAAAATAATTTATAAATAAAATGAATGGGTTTGTTCAGAAATCAGAATTTTCACTCTATGCTAGTTTTTTTCTCTTTTTTTCTTTTTTCCTAATACAAAAATGCTCTAATTATGTTATCCCTTGAAAATTAACTTGCAATCTTAAAACTCATATATATATATATATATATATATATATATATATATATAAAGCAACAGACCATATGGTTGATTAGTCTTGGTCTTCCTCGTACGACTAGCCTCAACTTTGAAAGATGATCTCCTTGCAAGAGTTGGGAGGCCTCTCACTGAAGGTTTCTTCACTGGAAAAGGAGCTGGTTTCAGGCTCATTGATGAAGCCATAACTGAGGTTGCCATAATTAATTGCTAGGGTTTGTGGTTGCTTGATCAGCTCTCCGCCTGCCTGTTTTGCCCTCCAACTTGCTGGCTTGGCTCCATTAAATACCAACATCCTAGATAATGAAAGTGACAGCTTCATAATTATTGACCATGTCGCCACATGGCATTGCTTATGTGGATGAAATCTGGATATGGTTTTGCAAGCATTATCAAGATGGCCAGGTGTTTCGAACTGGGTGGTTTAGGGTTCAAACCCTCTGCCCCACCTGATTACATGACAGCTGCATCAAGACCATTGGCTCAGAATGGATCGTTCAGAGATTATCCACAGTCTTCAATGTTGTGGTGTTAGAAAATAAGAGAAATTTGTGGTATAGCATCCCAAAATGAGAATATACTCTTCGGAGATTATTTTGCAGAACTTTAGGGTATAGGAATAACTCTCAGCCTCATTTTAACTTGTTAATATTCTGTAAGTAATCCAAGTGACCACCACCACCACCACCACCACCACCACCATGAAAGCACCACCACCAGCAGCAGCCTAGGATTAGGAGGGGTGTGACCATGAAGAATGAACCGATATGATCTCAGAAGAACAAACAACAACAATAATAACAAGGGAAATTCATGTGAAAAATTACTACTAATTGTACACCATTGAAATCCAAGTCCAAGGGAGAATACAATAACGCAGAGGGATTCACAAGGGAGGAAATGTTTTTGGTTTCTGGACAAGTACTGACACAGGCTATGATACAATACTATAAATTAGAACAGCAGAAATCTACTGTGCCAAAGCACTTGTGCTGTAAACAAGAAGTGCACCTCCAGCAAGAATTCCAGCTAGGGTGACAGCCCAGATTAGCAAGCCAGTCGTACCTGAAAATGGTACATTGTTCATGTCATTAAACATTAACTTGACCTCATAAACAGGGAAATCGACATCTAGTAAAGATATTAATGCTCTTTTTTTTTGTATCCTATGGATATATATAGTCACCAAAATGCGTTGAGATTCTTACCCCCAGCATAGACATCACCAGTTGGGGACCAGTCATTAGTGTCGTAGATAGGGCTGTATTTCAATCAGCAGAAATCAAGGATTTAATCAAGTCTGCCATTCAAAAGTTGATACAAACCTCAAGTAGCAAGGAGCCAGAAATTCAAATATACATGAAGAATCACAGAATCCAAAAGCTGATATTTTTACCTGTAACCATCCACATTAGCACCGTATTTGTCCACATATTGGTACACACCCTTTCCCTGCAGGATCAAGTTCAAGGATTATATATGATATTTATCAACTGTAAACTTACAGTAAAAACATGCAACACCCTTGCAAATGCAGAACTTATATAGAATTTCAATACAGGTATACTTCAAAGTGATTTGGTGATGGCATCCTCTAATCTCTATGATATGAACACTTGTTATTCTTTAGCTGTATTCCATTGTGGTTTGCATAATTTTCCTTTGTTTAATAGAAAAATGAAGATATCAACACATTCAAATGTATTATACAATTGAAATTAGGCCGCTATTCCATTAAAGATTGAATAATAGCTGTAGAAGGACAAGGAGCACATCATGCTCTTGCTTGGCAAGAGGGACGAGGATTCAAGTTCAAGTCTTCTACTTATCAACAAGAAAATAGCTAAACTTGAAAGCAAATTAAAAAAGCTCTACAAACTAACCTTGGGCTTCCTTCCGGATGCATCAAGCCCATTCCTCAGCTTCATGCCACCACCAGTTCCTGTGTAACAAAAATCAAAACTCTAAGCTAATCAATCTCTTATTTAGAAAATTCCTTTTCCTTCTAAAACTCAACAAGAAAATAACTAAACTTTATGAATGGTGCAACATGTAATAAAGAACATGAAGAGAAAATATTAATTAACTACTAATTTTTTTATTATATTTAGGTGGGGTGAGAGAGAGGAGAAAGAAAGGGACTCATACTTTGTCTATAAACAGTAAAAGATGCAAGGAAACAAAATTATTGAGATCAAATTACTATCATACCATTATTTTAAATTATTTTAATCTTAATCAATGATTGATTGATTTGTTGTTTCTTACTTTTTCATTTCACTCTCTGTTCAAGCACTTTTCATAAACTTTTTTTTTCCAGAATTGCAGAGGAAGATCATATGGGGGCCCTTGGAGGAACATTCCATTTATATTTCTCTCACTGGTCAGCTTCTGATCTCATGCTCTCGAACTAGAGAAAATGCATTAAAAATAATATCTTCATCTGTGGTGTGTGTGCATAACATGAAAAGGGTATGAGTATATATATCCATGTCATATGAGGATGAAAAAACAGACCATAAGGGGTAGCAGTCTTGATCTTCTTGCCACCGCTGGCTTCTATCTTGAAAGATCTCTTTGAAAGGGTTGGGAGGCCTCTCACTGAAGACTTCTCAAATGTGAAAGGAGATGGTTTCAGGCTCACTGAAGCCATAACTGAGGCTGCCATTGCTGACTTTGCTTGTGCTTCTCTTTTTTCACAATCTCTTCTTTTCTTCTCAAATATGTGGTCTGGCTACTAAAACCCTAGATAATAATAATGGCTGCGTGAGGGGTGATTTTCATGTTTCCACGTGGCATTAATTATGTGGCTGAGTTCTAGATATGATATGCAAACATTATCAGGAAGGGAAGAAGCTTTTTAAACAGGTGGTTTTGAAGCATGCAAATCTTACAGGGGACGTGGAGGAAGCATGCTCATGCATAGCCCTTAGAATGGGTTCCTTAGATTATCTGATACAACAAAATGAATAAATAAATAAATAAATAAATAAAAGAAAACTATGTATATATATATAGCCAAGTAGACTTGAATATCCGCCCCCTAATATTTGGAAGGTTTTTTGCGTTCCTGATGTGGAATCCAATTCATTTTTACCCTAACTGCATTTCCATTCGATAATATATATATATATATTATTTTTGACGACGAACCAAGTAGTGCAATACGTACAAGCAAAGTGGGATTGAGCTCTAGCTGAGCTTTTTAAGCAAGACAATACCATACAAGTATAATATTTGTTGAATCAGCATAATTTGTGTTCTTACAAGAGAACATCTTGTTATTTAGGTTGAAATGAATACAGAGAGATAATATTCCCCGCCAAAATTCGTATTGACTGCTGATCTAAGGATAATGGAAGTAGCAAGTAATTATGACTTCCAAGATTACTTCTTGCAGATACAATTTACATAATCATAAAGTGGGCAAGCAAACTCCATGAAAGAGAAAAAGAAAAGAAAGAAACAAAGGGGGAAAAAAGAACTTATAAGCAACTAAGCGTTTCCGTAAGCTTTGAAGCAGCAGCCATGCCACTAAGAATCGCACCTTCAACATTTGGACTAACACAGAAATCTCCACAGATGGCCAACCTTTTTTTCCCATCCCAAAGACATTTCTCCTCCCTTGCTATACTTGCAGTTGGAAAAGCACTTCCCCTGGAAACATACCAACCAATGGAAACAATGAAGTGAACAGTATAGAATGGCAGGATGAAAAATACCTGCCAGCAGCAGGAACTATAAAAAAAGAGAAAGCACAGACATGCAAGTCTTACTGTATATTGAGTTCATACACGAATATAAAAGAGAAGTTGAATGCTGCCGTGTGCAATCATGGATTTTTACCTAGGGGGTAGCAGAACAGGATTTTCATTCCAAACAAATGGACTCCTAACCCATAATTCTAACTGTCGATCTACAATTTCCAAAAGTTTTTAAGCAAGTAGGTAGTCCTGAAAAAATCCAGCATTCCACATACAAGAACAAAGGTTTTCATGATTTCAGCAAAGAGAAGAGAGAAATCCTATATACAAATGAGTAGATAAGATCTCAAAATGAATAGATTCCATCTCATTAAGTTTATATTCATGCTGGTTAATTGATTAGATAAAGGGAAGCGGGATACATCGTAGAAAGAAAAGAGGGGAGTGGAGAACAGAATAAGACTTGCAATTATTATTTGACTTGATTATTTTTTCTTACAATGAGATTTTGCAATTTATTTGTTTTTTTCCAATTCAGTAGTTAAAGTAGTTTTCAGGTAGAAAGTTATTCCTTTTCCTAATCTGTTAGTTTCCATGTTCAGGAATTCCTATCCCTATTTTGATATTGGGTTTGGGATGTTTCTTATACCTGTAATATGTTTTAGGATAGCTGATGATGATGATTAACAATTGATTATTAAGTATAAATAATTTTGCATCTCCTAACTGTTTGCTTCTAAAATTCCTCCCATTTCTCTTCTTTCCTCTTCTCATCTCTACTGTCCTACATGAATTTTGGCCATTAAGAAAGTTGCAAGTATGCCAACCAACTAATCAAAAGTAAACTAAAAATTCCCAGTTTACTTTGTAAGTCTGACAAAGTCATACCCTCACTCCCAGTTTCTTCAGTGAAGCTGAGATATATAGTGGCATGGACCATTTTAAGGCCCTTTGAAAAAGCTAACTGAACTGGCCAGATAGTGCCATCTTCCGTTCAAATTCCCAGTTTACTTTCTTATTCCACCAGTCATACCATCACTCCCAAAATTTCTGCCAGGAAGCTGTGAGAGAGAGTTTGTAATGGACCGTCAAAGTCTTTTTTAAAGGCCGTTGAAAAGGCTAACTTAACTGGCCAGAGAGTTTTCTACTCAGGCCCATTGGAAAAATGGGACAATAAAAAGGGAAACTACATTGACTTTCAAAGCCATATAGCACTAGAACAATGCATGATCCCAGAACTAGTTCCATCAAGAAATTCAACAAATAGCAGTGATAATAATGATAATATAGGGCATTGATCTAAATACCAACCATCGATGAGCTTTCATGAAAAATGGCCGAGGGATATTGAGCCCACTGCTTTGGAATTCTTGGAACAATTCTTCAGCTACTTTTGTTAATGTTGCGCTTGAAGGCTTCTGAAGGCCAGTTTGAGCAATTACGCCTCTGGCATAATTTGCTGTTGAATGTAATACCCATCGTTCACTGCACAGCAAAGCAAAATAGTAAATATAACTAAGCAACCTGAAACAGAAATTTGGTTAATCTTCCAGTTATTAACTAATAAGGAAACACAGATGCATGCCTCGTGGATGAACGACCAGGCTTTCTGCTGTCACAATGACTCCAGCTTAAAATTTCAGAATTTTTAAATGAGAAGCCCTTCACAGGTATCTGAATCACGATACCAAAATTCCATCAGCACACATGTAAGCTGCGCAAATAGCTGTGGTGGAAGAAATATACAATAGAAATTGGAAAGGTTTTCAAAGCATTGACGAGCTTTATTAAGAGATACATAATCAGTGACTTACTGAAGACAAGGGCTCCGCAAATGCTAGCATAAGAGCAAAGCATGGACTAACAGGAATATCTTGTAACTTCGATGCCAACTCGGGTGCCAAACTCAAATCTGAATTAATAAAAAATAACTAATGATTGAGATATTAACTCAGGCTGTTACACACAGACAGAATGGTTCCAATAAAAATATAGAAGAGGGAATGAAAGATAGGCACTGTACTATATGTATGCTTTATGCAAATATTTGCATTAAAGAAGCATATCTTTTTTGTTCTATGCCACAGAATGGCACCAATGAAAAACAGAGAGAAGGAGAGAAGAGGGGGCATGGAAGAAAACAGTGAGAAAAATGAGATTGTTTTATGTAGCATAAAGTACTCTAGCCAAATACCTGAATACAAATAATGCAGAAAAACTAAAAGATGTAGGAATTAGTTTAGTGAGAGAGAGGGGGTTTTGATTCATCATACCAAGAGGGGGTGGACGTCCTGTCACGTCTGTAAATCTTGGAGAAGCTATACTTTTGTCAGATACAACCACTCCATTAAAACAACCAAGATTTTGCCCATCCAAACCCGTCAAAGACCATTTCTCATCATCTAACCACTCTAACCTCCCAATACCAACCCCAAACTTGCTTTCCACTCCTGAAAATATGTCGAGGGGAAGGCCACAATTTCGCAAGGTTTATGTTTAACCTCAGCCATGAAAATTTCCAAATAAAAAGTGGCAACATGCTACGCACCAGTCTCATTGCATAATGCTTTACAGATAGAATTCATGCCCGGGAGACCAACATATTTCCTGTTTGGAGCTTCCTACATGAAATTTACATTAAAAACTCTGGTAGCTGAATAAGAAGATATGATAAGTGAAAGTATCCATCTCTTTTCTTTACTATCATGGATCAAATTCTGCAGTATCTGAAAAAGGTTAAACAAAACAAACCTTCCCAAAGTTAAATGACACTCTCACTTGTAATTATATATTCAGTCGCAGGGTAGATAGATCTCAGTGGATCGTATTATGGTCGATAGCAAGTGACTATAAATGAAAACATTAACTTCCCCAAATCTAGTGAAAAAGGTCAAGAATTCAAGATGAATGAATGAAAATAAAGTTTCTAAAGGGATGACATCAAAAGCCTTTACTTGAATGCAGGCACCAGCCTTTAATAATCATATTGACCACCAGCCTCGAGGATGTATAATACTGAGACCCAAAATCTATGATCATAGTAATCAGCGAACATGTAATAGATGGTACCAGGCATGTTCTTGAATATGAATGGCATGTTATATATACAGCGATAGGGATAGTCAAACACCTGTTCTATGTCAAGAAATTTCTTGGAGATGCAATCAAAAGAGCCAAAATTCTCTTTCCATTCTGCAACAAGACCTTTAGATTCCCACTCATGAGCAACCCTCAAAACATCAGTGTTGCTCACACTAAAAAATGGAGCACCATGATCGAAAAACAGCTCCTTCCCATCTTCAGACATTTCTCTATTAGAGAGAGTAACAAGTTAGAAATTTTTTAACAAATGCCAAACCATACATTCTTGATTAGTGCTATGAATTCTAATTGGCATAATCTAATTTCTCCAAAAAGGAACTTCTTTCTTTTCGCATTATGCAACATATAATGATTTCGCTATGCTATTATCAAGTTCTAATGTCTCCCTGCAGTGTTTAAGCCACTAATAAGGCCCAAAAACAAAAACCCATTTCACATATTGTTGAAAATAATTAAATAATCATAACTAAAGAAAGTTCTAATGTCTAACTAATTTCTTTTTATCCTTTTCGATTCAAGAAAATGTAAAAAACTACAGGAAAAAAAAAAAAAAAACGAACTAACGAACGAAAGAGAGAGGAAGAAATAAAGAAGAGATCACCTTCTTTGAGACATGCGACCACCAGGGCCTCGAGCAGACTCGAAAAGGGTCACAGAGACTCCATTCTTTGCTAGTGCTGATGCACATACTGCTCCTGATACTGCGACATTCATTCCATTTCTTTTAGCAATATTCTCAATTTCTATATATATAGTGCATGTCACAAGTAATATAAAGAAAGACAGCGGAGAGATATATACTTACTTCCACTTCCAACAACGGCGACTTTGGTGGCGACGTTGTTCATGGTGGTGGTGTCGA